TGTTTGTCTGTCTTTGTGTTTGTTGTTTGTTTTTGCCTCTATCCCCCTTTAAAAAAAGAATTCTTTGGAATAATGTGTGTTTCATAGAGGTGGTGTGGTTTAGTGGTTATGTCTCAGGACTGTGGATCACATGGTTCGCGTTTCGAGTCCCATTGCGGTACCAATGTTCTTTGGCAAGTCATTAATCTACACATGCCACTCTTCACCCTGGTGTTAAATGGGTATACAGTAGGATACGAAAGTTAATGCGGGAGGATTGGCATGTGTGCGCCTATAAGATGGCGCCTTTTAAATCGCAATACTCCCCAGGGAGCGGAGTGTGTGCACTATCATTGAGGGACTAACAATTAAATCCAATGACCGGGGTGATGAACTCTGTCAATGTCAAGTCACCTGTACAAACGTGCCTATGTTTATTCATAATTATACGCATTGACGGATGATACCAAAATCACCAACAAATACATGTAACATGTCTTAGACGAAACAAAGACGAAATATTTTGTTTTAAGTGGCAGTTCTTACGGAAGCGTTAAAGTGCCATTCTACTTGACGACATGACGAGATATTTCATCTTGTCAAGTCGACTTAATATCCACATAATATCCACATGAACTTTTTGTGAAGTCGACTTGGCAAGATAATTTATTTCGCCATGTCGACATTACTTTTTGGGGTAGTCGACTTGGTAAGATAATATATGTCGCCATGACGACATGTATGTTTTAGAAGTCGACTTGGTAAGATAACTTATGTCGCCATGACGACATGAACTTTTTGTGAAGTCGACTTGGCAAGATAATTTATTTCGCCATGTCGACTAATAAAAGTTGATAAGTCGACATGGTAGGTTAAATATCTTTACATGTCGACATGATATGGATATTAAGTCGACTTGACAAGATGAAATATCTCGTCATGTCGTCAAGTAGAATGGCACTTTAACGCTTCCGTAAGTTCTGATTCCCCTCACAATTTAAATCGGTGCTTCATAATAGCCAAAATATCAAGTTTTCAATAATTATTTATATTATCTATAGGCCCATATTCTTTTTTCTTTTTAAAGATAAAGTTGATTTGTGGAGTCGATCAGAAAAGGTTGATCATCTACATGTAGCATAATTATAAGTATTGGATTGTACTGCAATGTTCTGGAATCATCAAACTGATAAGAAAGTTGGCCCAATCCCCCCACCCCCAACCCCACTCAGTGTTATTTAGGGTACGCATATGCGTGTTCCCAGCACCCCCCCCCCCCTTCAGCATAAGTCCGGTGTGTAAAGTCAATACGGGTAGATCTTTTTTGTTTTGTTATACGAACCTTTTTAGCACCCCCACCCCCCCCCCCTTTCAGCATAAGTCCGGTGTGTAAAGCCAATACGGGTAGATCTTGTTCATTGTTACGAGCCGGAGAGTTTGGGAACACGCATGCGGTCCCTCCGGCCTGGAATGGGGGGGGGGGGGGGCGGGGCCCAGTCTTGGTAAAGTTACAAGCACTGTACACAGAAATATGTTTATTATATGGGACTACACGATCATGTGGCATAAAAATCCGTCCCGGTTTTTATGATGTTAAATGGCATACTTAGAATATTAAAGCATTTGAAGAGCCATGCTTTTCAGGGAACATTTTTTTACCTGATGTTCTTCCACACTTGCATAATACATTTTACAATAATAACGCTTACAAATTATTGTTCACCTCTCCCCAGAACTCAACCTTCTCTCTTTCTGTTTACTACTATAGATTGCCAGATAAAGTTTATTTTAGGTCAATTTTACAATCCATCGATTCAATGTTTCTTTATGTAAGGTCATTCTAAGTTCAGACAAAATATTTAGTTACAGAAATAAAATGATTTATGGGGAACATTTCTAAAGAATTCACGAATTGGGTGAGCTAACTTAATTATAAATATCAGAATCTTCGGCAATAAAAACAATTTCAAATTTTATATTTAATGTCTTCCCATCCAGTCGCAAATCAGAGGACGACTTCGGGGTTTAAACTCGACTTAAACCCGACTTAAAGTTAGGCGGCCTTCCAGAATACGGGCCTAAGTTTAATCGAGTAAATAAATTGTGAATGAGTCTTTGTAATTTGAATTACAATGACATCGTCACATGGCATTTGAAAGCACAACGTGGCGGAAAGTTATTCCAACCATGATCGAGAAATATCTAAAAGAAATGTTAATCTAATTCTTCTTTTAACAAATCGAATGTTTGGCCTTAGAAAGGGAAAGTGCAGAACCGCTGTATTGAACAAAAGCTTTATGTAAATTACAATGCACCGATTCGAAATTCCTTATATACTGCACAGACCATACCATTTTGCAATAATCAGAGGGATGATTTGAAAAATTGAAACTCTAACGAAAGTATTAAAATCTCTTCATCAATGAGCTACTATAATCATTAATGTCGGAATATTCGGCAAAAATAGTGATCGAATTTGATCTCATTTAATGTCTTCCTTAATTTTCCCATTTGCTCCTTGTGGTAGATTTTAAAAGATATTTTAATTTCTTGCCCCTCCTACTTAACTTCCTGGGCTGACGTATTGGTAGATTCCTGGGCTTTCACAAATTAATTCATGAATACTATCTAGGTCCAGTATCGCATCTTGAGTCGTGTACCCACTCGAGGCAGTAGCTCATTATATTGCCGACATAGCGCCATACAGATGCAGGACGGCACGTAACACCATTTGCAATATGTGGAACCGTATCAGTGGACACGCCCTTTGGTTATGCACTCAGCACGTTTTATTAGTTGTCTTATTACTGGTAAGTTTCATTTCTAATTTATTTCAGCCGATTTCTCATAAAACTCATTATTTAATTAAAACAAAATGTTTAAAAGGGTTAATAGACAGTCATCAATTAAAATGTAATTTATCGTAACGATTTTGAAAGGTAAGTGACTCAATTCATGCAATTTTATTATTTAAACTTGCTATGGTACAATACCGTGTGCTAGAATGTTTTATATTAGTTCAATGTACATGTCATTTGTATTCAAATAATGTTATTGCCATGTCGACAACTTAAAGTCAAACTTGTTTAACTTATTTGCTATCTTTTATGTCTGATTTTCGTATCCACCGCTAAGTTTAAACGATTTATAACACGTTAAAGTTAATGTTATAGTGGACAACACCTTTAATCTTGTGTGAAATTAACTCGGCGCATATCTAAAGACTGTGTTTAAAAGTGTTAGAGAAAATGTCTTCCTTTATATGCATAGACTTCGTTATATGCATAGGAAGCGAAAATGAGTGAGATGAGGGTGTGACGGGGAGGGAGAGAGAGAGAGAGAGAGGGGGGGGAGGGGGGGGGGGTAATGATTGGGAGAAATAATAATGCAGACAATTGAAAACGGGCATGCTTCGAGGTTTTTTCCCTCAAGAACTGAATTCAAGTCAACAAGTCGCGGTCCGGTGATTTTTTTTAAAATTGGAAATCAGGTGTGCTTATTTCTTTGGAACTATTAACAAAATTTATTACGCATAAAACATTTCTGAAAAGATGTGATCTTTTGAAACCTCGTGAGATGAAAGTGGGCTTATGTCGAAATTCAAACAACGTATGCTGCAGCTAACGCAAGTAAAGGAACTTCATTCAGCTGTCCAAAGTATATTGATCAGTTTCTTTGGTTAACCAAATGCGTACATTGTGTTGAAATGTTGGAGAACCTGTGGCAAGCTTAAGAGATTTCCAGTGGTTAGTTTCGCCTGTAAAGAATGCATTGATACAATGTTGATGGATAAGCGCATGTGTGGCGTTGCTTAGATGACGCCACGCTGCACGCACGCCCTTCACGAACCCGTTCACTACACTATCATGCAAGACCCGGATGTTCGCTCCATGTAGGGTAACAATGAAAACTGCGATTCCATGGTTTGAGCGTTCAATGTCCATTCACTGCTGCATTAAGGAAAAATATTTTTTACTTTTAGTCACCCGAAAAAAATTCACAACGGATAATTGTGGAGAAATTATATACGGATGGAAAGATTTTCTCTTGAAAAACACGAAAAATTTGCTGGAAAAAATCATATAGATATCATGGAAAGGCGTAAAATGCAATGTTGTGGCCGGAGCTGTGTCTCACATGTGACGTCACGAATCTTGAAGCTCTACAGAGGACCGCTGAAGAAAAAAAATCTGGATCTCAAAATTAACATTTTTGAGAGATGATTACTTCGAGGCCCAAACATATTTTGAAGAGGGAAGTTGTTATATTTCATTAGTAATGCTTCCCCTTCGCAATGATATGAATTTTGCATCAATTCAAAACACCTTGATTCTTCGAGTGACTACTTTAAAGGCACTTTGTCCCATTCGCAGCCCCCAAAATGACAAATTTTAATTCCAACCAACGGCATTTGAAAGATCATACTAATTTAAAACTTTCCTCAAAACGAATGGGCTTGAAAATGTCTTTTTGTGGGAATAACACGACCGTTAGTTGTCGAATCGACTTTAGGGATTGCAGAACCGAATGGTCGTACGTTTTGTGCTGCGCAAAGATTCAGTCCTAATTAGGGCCATTACAAGAAACGGTTTATTGATGTAGACAACATAATGATCATGTACCCTTTAAAGCTCACTTTATGTATGTTATTACCAAGGAAAAAAAGATGTCAGTCAGTAATATTCATAATTCTTGAATTTCTTATTTATAATCGGATTTTGCTCAAACTTGCCTTAATTCATTAATCTCATTATGATTTGATTATATTAACACCAGCTAATCGAACGGGTGGACTGCACCTTTAAAGATGAGTTTTGATTTACCGGTTTACTAACATAAGCCCGAGGCTTGCCCAACATATCAACAAATAATATATATGCAGACTGGATAATTCCAAGTTAATGGAAAAACTCGTCACAAGGTCCCCCGGAGAAAAAAAAACATCCATAAATTTGAATATTTGAATATAAGCCGGTCTATGGTTGATAATTATTTACATTTTTAAATATATTTTACCACTTCTAGGGATGCTGCCATCTACCGTCGGTTGAATCGGACCCAACCCTGACGCATAGATGGGCGGTTACATATGGAGAATGTAGTCAGACATGCGGTGGAGGTGAGTTATCGTTAGCCGAAAAGAAGAAAAAGGGTTGGCGCGGGTAGGGGCGTGTTTTTTTTTTTTTTTATAGGGACCACTTCTACATTATCTTTCCAATGCCAGGACCCGCAACGACCGCGCGCGTATCTGTTTTACACATCACCCTCTATTATAAGCCAGTTCATAGTCTAAAAATGGGCCGATTGCACAGCTGACCAAATTGTGAAATATAGTACGGAGACAAAATACTGGATACGTGCTCATGAAAGTTATATGTAATCATTATACGGAAACACTATGCATAAGCAAAAGCAGTACACTCCATCCCCCCCCCCCCCATTAAGCGAATTTGCGAAAAATGTGCCTCAATAATTATTTAATTCACTGAATAATTGTATCTCCATATATTAGTCAAAATTCAAATTGCATACTGTATTGTGTTGCTACTTTTTGTTTGTTCGATCTTATGTTTAATCCTATGTTTGACCTTTTGTATGTATGTTTGATCTCACTCTTATCTTATTTTTTATTATTATATATGCATGATTTATTGAATAAAGAACAGATGTATAAGTTGTGTGTTTATTATAAGTTTTGGTAAATAATTGTTTAGTCAGAATATGGTGCGCTTAGAGACACCAGTATTAAGCGCACCATAATTAGAGTAATTTTAATAGTTTCATAACTATTAATTAAATGTATTGTTAATTGTAACTGTATAATTGTTTTAAATGGGGGCACGCTACAAGAGTCCTATCTCGCACCCCGGGGCAACGTGTCTGACACGGCCGGTTGTAGCAACTACTCCGAAGATCAAGATTACAGTAATCTTGATCTAAGGAGACACGAACGAACGAACGAACGAACGAACGAACGAACGAGCGCCTTATAAATATTGTGTATTATTATTATTATTACGCAGGAGTCGGACAAACACGTTGGCTTCTGTTGCCCTACCTAACAACGCGATATGCAATTCGCATTCTGACTATTGAAATAAAATTATTCGTAACAAGTGAATGAAATAGTTCGTATATATTATGTGGTTACATTACCCAAATGGTCCCTTTATCCCCAACACATGAGCCCCATTTCACAAAACTTGTCTTCGGTGATTTTGATGACAGTTTTTGTTAAAGCTACTGATGAGATCCTTGCTTCTGATTGGTTATCGGCAGATTTGTCACTGATTTGTGTAATTTGTCTGAAAAAAGGGCTTTGTGAAACAGGTCCCTGGTTACAAGTTCATTCACCTGCTATAATTATGGCACCTCTATAATGGATGGCATCCACTTCGGATACAATATAGCCGTATTGCTATGTCGGGAAAGCCTCGTCTATACTGTGCATAAAATTAGTAAATCTTGTCTATTGTAAGGTCTTGCAAAGGCGGCCCCAGAATTTTGTAAAAGGGTCAATTTCTCAAAAAATTCGTGACAAACCAAAATTTAGTTTTTAGACCTATATGGAAAATGGGGGCCGATTCGAGCCCGCCCCCCCTTTTTTTTTTAAAAATTTAAATCCGGCCATAAGGCCTACTTAATCTCATTGTTGATTTTAAAAGCCAGGTAGTCGATTTGTTTTAAAAGTACTTGTGATAATTGAATTCAAACGTGTGGATTCTATATAATTTCAATTAATTGATTTGATTCGCGCTAGCCTAGGAGTGTGTTCGCAAAGATTGTGGGACGATTTTGAGGAAATTAGGTTGTCAATAATGAAATCATGAAAGCGATTACCATATATTTATGGAGTGTAGGTTGCATGTAGAGCGTGTCAAATTTGACTGTGGTTAGTTTGTAAACGCAAGTGGAGGCTTAGCCTACTACAAAACGAAGCAATTTACTGTGTTTTATAAGCATATCATCTCAAATTTTGCATTCAGCGACCAATTAGTTTGAGAAAATCGTTTATTGAATGAAGAGCTAAAGTTGATACGGAGATAAAAGAATGGAATTTTGGGAGGAAGATCGATATCGAGGCACCAATCGTCTGCTAATAAATGTTATGCGGGCTCAGCGGTCGGTGAGTTTGCTTATGCCCGAACTTCAGGGGCCACTGACATCCTCTGTCCGTCGGTCTCTGTGCAGAGCTTAGCTTTATTTGTGACACTATCTAGTGACTAGTCGGGCATAGGTCTAAATGTTAGATCTAGTCGGTTACACAGAAATAATCGTCTGTTATGAGGAATTCTTTAATAGGCCTGGGGTCCTTGGACTATATAACTACCAGATTTTTAACAGGTAAATTAAATGGTATCGAGCGATAAGTTTGCTGTTTCTTTTTTATCTGTCTAAGTTAGGCCTAGAATCTAGATGATACTTAATCTAGTAGATCTATACTTGATAGATCTATCTAGAAATCTAGGTCTAAACTGAATTAACACTAACACTAGTAACAGTTTTAGTCTAGGGGCCTAGTCTAGTCTATTTAGAAAAAAAATAATGATTGGAAAGCACTCGAGCGCAAGCCTCAAGGGCTAGTTTTCATATACTATAGCCTAGACCTCTAACTGTTAGGCCTAGATCTAGACCCTACTGTACAAATAACTTTAAAAAAAACTAAAACATGAAAATATATTAATTTTTAAGGACATCTTTCAGCTAATCTGTTTTCTTGCATGAATTAGCTATTGAGCTGCGCGCAATGATATCGGCAATCACAAACAAACTGCATTGCATAACCTGCCGTCACTACCGAGTACCGTACGTGTAATTAAGTCTTGTGTATTATTATTATTTATATCCCGCATACTAAGAATCTTGCAATCTGATTGGTCTAAACGAGGTCACATGATCAATGATAGATAAGTACTATCTCCCTGCGATAGGACTTTTGAACCGTAATTTTTTGCTGCTGCCCCACCTTCCCATTGAATAAGCGTAGCAAAGAAGGTTACGCGAAATGTCAATGTCAAATGAGCGTGCATCGACTGTATTACATGTATGCGTGTTGTGCTTTGTAAAATCTAGCTGAAGCTAAACTGTCTGCGAAATCAGTTGTTTTAATTATGTAAAATTCACTTTAAGTAGACCTTATTGCCGATGTGGGATATAAAACAAATTAACCTCCTTTACTCGGGCAATGGATACAAACTATCATCGCCTCTGATCTTGTGGCTACCATATTATCCCTCGCCGTGCGGCTCAGGATGATAGTTTGTACCATTACCCTCATAGTCGATTAATATTTGCTTAATATAGCTGTATAAAGACAAAGGATAGACTAGTTATAACATTAGCCTAGAATTAAGAATTGTCCTAGGCCTACCAGTAGTCTTAGTCTTACTTAGAAATTTGAATGAAAATGTGCAGACTGTGTTAGGGTTCCTGATGGAAAAATCTTAAGGTCATGGGCATGGAAAAATTGCAAGTTGTGACAATTTCTTCATCTGGTTTTAATAAATACTAATAGTAATATAACCTGAAAATTATATCTCCCATTCTTAATTGCTTCTGGATATACAGTAATAATAATAATAATAATAATGTCTTGTTTACCCAGGGTAGCCTCATCAGTATTCATACTGTTCTCCCTGAGGGCCCTGCAATCATATTATTACCACAATTCTTAATTGCTTCTGGATATGACTACAATTTAAAAAATTTAACCGCATACATGCTTTTTCTTTACATTCTTTTTCTTTACATTCTTGCATTTTCAGGTACACAAATCCTTGTCAAAAGCTGTTACACATTGGCCACGAACTCACAGCCCTCACAGACGGCACCCATTAGCTACTGCAGTGGACTGGACCACCCACCAGAACCAACCGTTCGATCATGCAGCACACAACCATGCACAAGTAATGTTTAATGTTTCGTATTTTTCACATTTGTCATTTATGTTATGGGTCCACCCACTTCCCTCAAACTCAAGCCATCTGCTTTATCAGGTGCAAATGACCCAGTACACTTCTCAATGTATAAATATTGTATGTGATTTTCAATGAAATAATAAATTGGATTGAATTCAGTTGTACTTAGAATCAAACCAAGACCACTCTCCCACCCCCAAAAGAAAAAAAAAAAAGATAAAAAAGGGGAATAATATTAGATATTTAGCTCACGTCCGCCTTTCTGTGTGTTCAAGGCGCTCCAATATTACCCTGGCTCTGCTAGGCTATCCGTTTCGGTGCTCACAGCAATCCAGGAATTCCTTCCTACCGGTACCCATTTATTTAACACCTGGTTGGAAAGGGGCAAATGTCTTGCCAAAGGGTATATGTGCTGGAGGCGGGATTTGAACCACGAACCCTGTGATCCACAGTCCGACAACGTATCCACTTGACCACAACAGATAAGAGAGAGAAAAGACAGAATCGGAGAGGAAGGAATATTTACCAGAAGGGGAAGAGAAGAGGAAGGGGTTTAAGAAAAATCATCTCAAAGCTGATAAAAAAGGACTGTGGGCGAAGAACTTTACTAGAGGAATAAAAGAATAAGAAGGGGTTCAAAGAAGACATGCTTACTATAGCTCCAATAGGTTTATGAAAATTCCAACCTGTGAAAAACAATTTCAGTCATAAAATTCTCCATATTTTTCTTGTTAATTGTTGGCTTAACCCCTTTGACAAACAGCCATTTTCTGTCAAGGGCAATCCAATCCATGCGTGGTGAATAAATAAATCCAAAATCAAATATATCAAGTGTTGGTATTTTTTTCTTTTTCTCAAAATCCAGTGACCACTATTTCATGACCTGGTTCTTCCTCCCCATGCAAAGTAGACGATGCCATATATCTTTTATCTGATTTCATAAAAAAGATTACCGCATCTTTGTCAAAGGCTATTGAAATACTTGTCATTTTGTCTTTATACTCAAGGAAGGATTGATGGTCATTTGTGAAATGTATAATTTTTTTTCGTCTGGTTGACTGCAACTTTATTTTTCAACCGCGCTTTATGCCACGGTCACAAAGGTTTGTACGAACAATAATTTTGTACAAATCTCACTGTTTTTCCAATGTCCGAAAATCGTTTGTATGGCGTTCGTAGCAGTTCGTAATGGCATTTGTGACAAAGACTTTACTTACTAATGATAATACAGTCGAACCTGCCTTAGTGACCACCTGTCTACAAAAACCACATTTCTTGTTTCCCTTGTAAATCTTTTCTCATTGAAACATGCACTGAAGTAACCTGTCTACAAACACTACTTTTTGTGTTTCCCTCGGGTGGTCGCTATAGACAGGTTTGACTGTATCATCTTGAACTTCTTGTTTTTTCTTGGTGACTGCAACAAATATTATTTTTCAACCATGTTTTTATAATGATATTGATTTTGAATTTCAGTGTGTGATCGTACTTACACTGCCCTCAGTGGAGCGCTGTCATCACCATATTGGCCTGATAAATCATCAATACCCAGGTATGCTCTTCCTTTTATGAAATCAAATTTACAAGGGATATGAATAATTTAGTTGTCTACTGTAGATATCAAACTAAGAAAAGTTAATGGTTATACAAAGTTTTGGTAAGGGGTCATGAATTTGGTTCAAATGAACATGTTGGAGGCATACCGTAATTAGCGGTGTATAAACCGCCCTTGTGTATTAACCGCACCCCTCTTTTTCGCCCTTAAATTTTATTTATTTATTTATTTATTTTTTTTGGGGGGGGGGTAGCCGACTCTGTCGGCAGCAAGCCAGGTCTGTGTTAAAAAAACCCACGCGGGAAGACCTTTCATTTAACTGCGAGGTGCAGCTGAATGTGTAAGATCATTAATGTAAATTAAAAAACAGAGGACCTAAGATAGAACCTTGTGGTACGCCGTGTAATAGAAGAAAAATTGGAGGAACTATTATTATATTGAGATCTATCAGAAAGATTTCTTTCAAACCAAGATGACAGACAAATTTGAGCATTGTTCTAGTTTCCGAGTGGTGAGTCAACACACCGATTACTGAGCTGGGAGACATTGCCAGGCATAGCGACAGGTGGAGGGGCATAAATAGAAACCGTGTATAAGACGCACCCCCGACTTTGAATTTTTTTCGGTGGCAAAAAAGTGTGGTTAATACACTGTTGATTACGGTATGCGATTTTACAATATCCAATCATTGTCACGGTTGAAATCTTATATAAAGTGATGAAACTGTAAAAAATAAACTCTTTATGAACATTATGTTGTATAGCTCCCTCTCATCACTGATATTACTTTAGCTTTAAAACAATGTTTCTTGACTACAAGAATCTACTGATTTGCTATTCCCGTTTGGAAATTATATATCAGAACTGCATATTCTGATATTTTCATGGGAGCGGCAGTAAATTTTTGGTTATTCAATTTCTCCAAAGCAGAAGTGTTTTAGGGGCTAAATTTTTCTAGTGCTTTATGATACATCCACGGGGGCATCCAAATATATCAACATTTTAAAAGAATTACTATCAATCCAATTTCAAAATTTCCCAAAACTTTGCATTACCTTTCATCAGGGGCGGCGCCACAGGGGGGGGGGGGCTAAGGAAGAGGAAGGGAAGGAAAAAGTGGAAAAGGAGACGGAAAAGGAAAGGAGGAAGGCCAGGAAAAAGGCCAGGAGAAAGGCCAGGAGAAAGAACTTTAAAATGTAAATTATGCCGTAAGGGAGGGTGGGGGGAGAGGGGAAAAAAATAAAGAGAGAAAATAAAGAAAAAGAGAGAAAAAGCAAGTCAAATCAGGCGATCAGATTTTATTAATAGACGAGTCATTATTACATTCACATTAACGGAAGTTCAAACATTGGTTTAGGATGAAAAACCTTTCTCCAACTGTGAGGAGAAAAAAAAAAATCAAATTAATCCCTTGTATCTCCTAAACCTTATTGCTGATTGTTCAATGGAAAAGACAAATTCATCTATAACAACCCTTCTGAAAAATATGGTGACCCCCCCCCCCCCCCCTATGTTCTTGTTCTTGTTAGTTGAACTTGAGACTGTTTCCTTTTTAATTTGGCAAAAAGTATGCACCAAATCGAGCCCATTTATGCATCAATTAAAAAAAAAAAATCTTCAACTTCTGAGGTGACACATTCCCCTAAGACGACCTCCTGCGTTCTTGCTCATGTTAGTTGAACTAAAGACTTGTTTTCTTTTTAATTTGGCAAAAAGTATGCACCAAATCAAGCCATTTATCCATCAATTTAAAAAAAATCTTCAACTTCGGAGGGGGGACATCCCCCCTCAGACACCCCCTGCGTCCTTGTTCCTGTTTCTTTTTAATTTGGCAAAAAGTATGCACCAAAGCGAGCTATTGAAGCATCAATTTTCCCCCTCAGACAACCCCTGCGTGGCTCGCCTATTCGCCCCCCCCCCCAACAAAATAACCTGCCGCCCCGCCCCTGCCTTTAATAATCTAACATCAATCCAGATCGAGTTTTGAACTTTCATGCTTGCAAAAATAGAGCAAATAGCCAATCAGTTGTTAATAAACATGTGCATCCGGTAGACATTCTTGTTAAACAATGAAATCAAAGAATGATAAACAATTAGGCTCTGGAAGTCAACTGTACAAGAACTTCATAGTTATGACAAGCACTGTCAAGATGCCTCTCCCAAGATCGTTGACGAGCCATAACCGGAGTGATGGCTCAGTCAGTAGAGCGTCCGCCTCACAACCGGGAGGTCGTGGGTTCGAACCCCGGCCACGTCATACCAAAAGATGTTAAAAGATGGGAGTTGCTGCTACCTTGTTTGGCGTTCAATTCAATAATAAGGGATAGAGCAACATCGATCTGGCGCTGCTCAGTGGCTGCCGGGCTCACGATCAATTGGGCAAAAAGAATTTCCATTTTCGGTTTAAATAAAATTTGGAGTGGACTTTAAAAGATTATTATTATTATATAAAAAATGAATTTTTTATATATTTTTTTACATCAAGTAAATGTTTTATCTACTACAGCAATTTTGTCCATCAAATTAGATACCATCCATGTTTTTATGTAATTGATTACTAGGTACTGTCGGCTTGTGATAGATATTGAACCTGATAAGAGGATCTTGTTGGCCTTCCATGAGTTTACCCTCGAGGGTATAGATCTGTTTAGTCCCTCCAAGACTGAAGAAGATGTCTGCTTGTGTGGTGTGCTCGTGGAGGTAGGATTGTTTACAATGTACATTTCAGATTTGTTGCCTATTTATAACTCTCAAACTAATTTGCGATCTGCAAGTAAATACCTGCTTGAGAGTCCTCGTACACGCTTTCTTCTAGGTGATCGATCATTACTGCCTAAGCATCGAGATTGTGGAACAGTCTTTCCCAAATCCTTCGCTCTTGTCACCAGTTATCCACTCAACTAAAGACATATCTATTTCAGATTGCTTACAATAAGTCACTGCTTTTTTGTTTTTCCCAGTTAGAATCATGAACAGACATTTTTGGTAGTTTTTCAGTCTCATCAGCACCTTTGATTAGGCAACTAGAAGTGAAGTTGAAAATAGTCTTAGTACTTAGTAGTTTTTAATGTATAAACCACTGCTTTATTCTTTTAAATAGGGGATGATGGTGGTTGTGACGATAGTGATTGTGACGATGAGGATGGTTATGATGAATTTGTAAGGGAAGTAGAAAATGGTTTTGGTACTTACCACCGGTAGTAGCTTTTAATGTATAAACCGCTTTATTCTTTTAGATACGGGATGATGGTGGGCGCATGAATCGTTACTGTGGAACCAAGAAACCGTTTGCTTGGGTCTCTGAGACGGATACAGTAACGCTGGAATTTATCACACCCTATTCTCTCGTCTTTAATCGCTTCCTTGCATCTTATACCACCATCGATACAAAACCAAGTAAGTACGCTCGATGCTCCCTTTTACCCTCATACCTTACCTTTTCAATTGTGTTGTTTGGTTTAGGACATGTAGGAAGGACGACTTTAGGAAAATGGAAAGTGTAGTCAAGAGGGCGAGTAAAATAACAGGAAAAAGACGAAACTTTGCAGAACAATGCAAGGCAGGAATTCTCCAAACGGCTAAACAGATCATTGCAAATAAGAATCACAATCTAAATTACTTATATGAATTATTACGGTCAGGAAGGAGAATGCGCTCATTGAAATGTCGGACAGGCCAATATTTGGGCCGGCTCATTATGTTCCATATTCTGTTCATTTGTACAATCAAATGGAGTGAGGAGCATGTGGGCCCAAGTATCGGCTTGGCGTGGTTTTCCTTCCTTCCTTCCTTCACACTGATGTTCTATCCTATTCATCATTTTCAATGTGTAATATTAAGAATATTGCTTTGTTTATCTTTTATTTTGATGGTTCTTCTGTGATTATAAACACAACGATTTCCATGTATACCTGTGAATTTGGATGAATAAAAAGAATTGAATTGAATTGAATATGGTTAAGATGAGTCTTACTACAGACTTAAAACAAAAACACACCTTTTTATTTGATGATAAAGTGACTAAACCTGTTGCCTGAAATTATTTTTTGTTACTTCATTCAGGTTGCTAACATATAATTTTTTGTTGTATAGTGCATGTCAAATTCATTACACTTACAATGAGAAATAGTGATAAATAGACATAAAATGCAAGAAAACACATCTTTTTTATGTGATAGAATAATAAAGTATATTTTTTCAAAATGAACAAATCTTTGTTCATTATTTAGTATGTGCCTGAGTGTGAGGGTTATTTTTAACACTATTTAGCTGAAATAATGTAAACATGAGCTTTAACATGTAAAAAAAGGTGGTGAATTTCATCGTGACTGTTCTGCAAATGAAAATAATGCTGAACAGACGCTTTTTTTACCAAAACAATGAACAAAGATTTTGAGGAGGCGTGATAGCTCAGTCGGTAGAGCAGTAGTCTCGTAATCCGGTGACCCGGGTTCGAAACCAAGACAATGCGCTAGTGCCCTTGCTGGTAAGGCATTAATCCTCACTACTAGTTCCCTCGGAGAGGATCTAAAGTCGTTGGGCGTCTGGTTGCTTTCTTACAAGCATTAATGCTTTCTTAGCAGTCGGGTAAAATAACCACCACCACCAGATTTGTTCACTTTGAAAGATATACTGTTTAAAGTGACTAAACCTGATGCCTAAAGTTACTTTTTGTCCCTGTATTCAGGTTGCTATTGCTTCATTGATCTCACCGGCCTTCATACCGGTCTCGATGTAGATGGAATCACTGAGATTCCTCCACTCGTTCAAGATTTGTTTCATTTTGAAAAGATACATGTATACTGTTTAAAGTGACTAAACCTAATGCCTGAAATTACTATTTGTCCCTGTATTCAGGTTGCTATCGCTTCATTGACCTGACCGGCCTCCATACCGGTCTCGAGGCAGATGGAATCACTGAGGTTCCTTTGCCTCAAAAAGGCTTCCTGCACTCGTTGAACTTCCCGAACGCCTATCCCGACAACCAGAACTGCGAGTACGTTCTCCATGGCAATCCAGAGCATCGCATCGTGCTGTACTTTGACGAGTTTGAGCTAGAACCTGGTCCGGCATGCGAGGCTGACTATGTCAAGGTAAGCAGTTTCTTGCTGAGGATGCACTATGGCTTGGTGGTAGAGCAGTGGTCTCAAAACCAGAGGTCCCGGGTTCAAAGCCAAGTCGACGCGCTTATGTCCGTTGGTAAAGCCTTAATCCTCATAACCAAGTCCCTTGGAGAGGACTTAAAGCCGTCGGTCCCCTGGTTGCTCACTTACAAGCATATACATGTTTTCTTACCAATGTTAGACCCCGTCCTTGATCACTTCCTAGACCCGGGAGGGGGGGGGGGGTAATTTTATTTAACCCCCCCCCCCCCCTCTCCTGTTAAGCAAATAAAATATTCGCATATAGCAGTTCCCCAAAGTTGACAACCCTGCATAAATATCTTCATAATCAGATAGGCGATTGGCTTGTAAAAATCATGGGATTCCCGACTGACCTAAAGGTTTATAAATATGATTGCAGCATGATCTAAATCCTGGATTTTGTTTCAGAATCTTGAGGGAAAGATATACCCAATCGCTTAAAGGAAATGGGTCATCAGTTTCCATGTGCAGAAGGCCATAATTCGCTGACACCAGACTTGGTGAAAACACAATTGTTGTGTTTATAAGTCTGCACACAGCGAACCCGTAGGTCCATCAGAAAAGACCCTATCGGCTCTCAGAGAGTCTTCGGATGAGGGGAAAAGTGAGATAAATGACTTTACCTGGTGGAGGAATGGATGAGGAAATACAAAGCATTACATAAGGCATATTGGTCATAAAACTGAAGGCTAATCCTGGTGATTGACAGCCTGTTATTGGGTAAACACCTGGGGGGTGTTTCACAAAGATCCTAAGTAGAACTTAACTCTAAGTTGGACTTAAAAATTATGGACAGCCATTGGAGTCTTAAAATGAAATATATTCAAAAGCAGAAATTCAAGTGTTTTAGACTTTTTTATAAATTCCATGCCAAGAACATGAAATCTCCCATGATAATAGGAAATATTAATGATTTGAATCAACATTTTATGCCTTCTACAAAGAAATTTACAAAATATTTTCAAGGATGCTAATGGCTTCCCATAATATTTAAGTCCAACTTAGAGTTAAGTTCGACTTAAAATCTTTGTGAAACACCCCCCTGACCGGTGGTGAAGTCCCCATATGAGCTGACTGAATTAAATCTTCTATTTTATCCAAAGATTGAGGATTTCTACAGTCGGCGCTCTAACGTCTACTGCGGCAAACATCACTCTTTCTCCTGGATCTCTGATAGCAATGAAGTCTGGATCACGTTCAGATCCAACGCCAATCAAGTCTACACCGGTTTCCTTCTGGCCTACGAACTCATGGATCGGGAAGGAAGTACGTGTCAACTCTTTCAGGACAGGAATTGTTTTAGGGCTAAACTGATCTCATATTCTTCAAATTGGCAACATTAATATTTTTCTTTTAGTGCTAACATGGTTCTAATGAAATGTAATGTCTTTGAAAACAATATACATTGTTAAGAACTTTGTCAAAAATTTTAAGACATGGCCAATTTAGATAAAAAACAATGATTTTGAATCTCTCAATGTATTGCCAATTTAAGGATTTCAAAGCTTATTTTCATTTTTAAAATTCCCGGCATCAAATGGAATATGGTCATACAACAAAAATGGATGCAGTGTGTGCAGAATCGTTTGCTCTTTCTACTCAGCATCTGGCATTTCTTGAAGGGATCTGAATCAAACGTATTGTGCCAAACCACAAAATGTGGCCAATTGTCTCGAAAGGGTTAACTCTTTTTTTTCCATCATTTATTAATTGAACAATACGTACATAAGAAACACATAATTTTATTAATTACAAAGAAAAACACATGATCATACTTATATCATAAAATTAATTACCGGTATACTTTTTTTTTTAAAGCATAATCAACATTTTACACAGGCGATACTTTTTCAACATTTGCCCTCCATAATATTTCCTTTAAATAAATGTTGAATATGTCTGAAAAATTAAATTATCTTTTATGCGTATATAAAACATTAGAAGCTAAATTAATAGATTTTTAAAAACTACATATTTTGAATTTTGTACCGGTAACTACATTGCTTGCCTACAATTATATCACTGTATTCAATCTTTTCATTATTAAACAATACTTCTGTTTTTCTGAGAAAAATTAAGACCTTGTTACACAATATTTTTGAGTAATCAAAATCATTAAATAAATGATAATAAATTTTCTTTACATTTGCACTACAAACAATAATCATGATCAGATTTTTTTAAACGATATAGATATTCTTCACATGCTAATAACTTATAGAGTAGTTTGAAATTAAACTCATAAATAATAATAGTAATAAACAGTAGGCTTACGGTTGCACTTATGTGAGAGAGGGGGAGTCCTGAAAAGGACTGTCAGTAATCTTTCTTTCTTGGGTATGTGTGTGTGTAGTCCTGAAAAGGACTGTTGGTAATCTTTCTTGAGCTTAGTTCTAAGAGAGCTATACCGCCGTTGGAGAGGATGGGTAGTAGGAGGGGCACAATGTTTCAATAATAATGTCGTGCATACATAATGCATATTCTGTTTCCATCTCTAATAGCAACAGAACAAGGAAGTACGACAATTAATACATAAATCCTGAAAACGAAGCTTACCGTAATTAAAATGACTCGCAAAATTTGGAAAGTATAAGGAGAGAATATTACCTTAGCTAATAACGTAATGTCAGTTGAATGTTCACTTACAAAAGGAAGGAACACATGTATGTTTTGAGAGACTGCTTGAGAAGCGTTTTTTATATCCAGGTTGTGTGCATATATACACATGTTAATGAGGAACACTATTCATAGGAAACAGAAATGTTTTTTTCTCTGGACACTAGATGATGATAAATATGATGATTCACAGCATTTGTATGGTGCCATAAATCTGTTTAAAAAAAAAACATTCAAAGGCATGAGCTCCTCCAATAAAATTAGCATTTAAAAGATGCGAGTCTTGAGTGAAGCTTTGAAGTGGTCTTGGTTGTCAATTTCGCGAATAGATGATGGGAGAGAATTCCACATCCCTTGAGATAAGTAATGGGCATCTGGAGAGTAAGGCCAGATGAGCGAAGTCCAGGGCGAAGATGACGCCGCTCGATTAAAGATGAGTCTTTCTAATCGGGTGAATGCTAAACCAGGTTTGACTGTATGACTCTTATTTTCCTCCAGATGAGACGATCGCGCTAGAAGAAGAGTCCGGTTTCTTTGTGTCGCCTGGTTACCCTCTGATCTACGAGTCGGACGCGTCGGCGGAATACGCCATCCGCACTGACCCTAGCAAGCTCCTCGTCGTGACCTTCCACGACTTCCAGCTGGAGAGAGACGACTACCCCGCTCCGCTGCCTGTGGGGATTCTGGAGATGGACAAGCGAAGCACGTTGAACGAGCATCAGAATCACTACGGCGACCGATACGACTTATGTGTTGATTACGTCAAGGTACCGTGTTGCCCTTAAATTTGGAATCTTTTTTCTCTACCTCTTTTTAATGAAATAATTGTGAAGCAGGCCTGATAATTTTTTTTTTTTTCCCCCCTATTTTTTCCCAATTTTCGTACTCACAAGAGGGGGGGGGGGGGGGGGGGAATGTTAGATGCCATTTTCTTTTCCCCCAAATCTTTTTTTTTATCTCAATGGGGTAATGGTTGAGGGAAAAAAAAAGACTATTTATTTTTAGTGCTCACCATCACCCCTAGTGAAGATTTTCTTGATAAAGTTTATATCTAATCAGAAATGATATTGATCAATCTTAAAATCATAGAAATTAATCAGTAAAGTTTGGAGAAGATATAAACTTTAACCGTTGAGAATAAATCATGTTGTCACAACCATTTCATGAAACGAGGTAAAGAAAAATCATTCCGAATTCATGAGCAACGCTGTAGAATAGAAATTTTCAAAACCAGCTGGCCCCCAACATTTTCTAGCTCTTTGTCGGCTTTAAGGACTTCTACAGAGAATTTACCTTGTCAAGTATTTTATGCATGTATACATTTCACTTCAGTTTGTGATGATCATAGATTATTAGATGATTGAAAATTGTAACCAGTGAAAGAGTTTTCACTTTTAGTAAACTGTTTAAAAAGAATGCACTCTGTTTTGTAAGAAAAGATTTTAATTAAACATATTCCTCAACACGGCTGAATTTGTTTTTATTTTTAAAGTTTTTCAATTATAGCTAATCTTGAGCTCTGGTATGGGCATCGTATGTCAAGAGAACATGGCTGTATAATTCATTCCGGATTGTTTATCCTGCAGTAGATTTGTTTAAACCATTAAAATGAAAACAAACTCACAAAAACTTGGTGGAAATCATCTTCAATAAAAACCACAGTTCTCATTTGCACATAGTGACCTGTGTTTATAAATAAGCACATGGTGTCGGGCCAACTTACCTTGATTTCCTTTTCTTTCTTTGCTCATTACTCTGCCCAAATTTTTTCTACCAATATCGCTTGGTACATGTCATTAATTTGTAACCTTGAACACTCATTGTAAGTTTTGTTGGATTATGTGAGGATGTATTACTAGAACCCGAGCTTATCATTAAAGGTAAAGACCAGTTTTGGAAACGCCCCAATTTCAAAAAATGAAATGGAAGCTCTCATTACCAATCATGTGAAAGAATATGTTTTGACTAATACATTATGATAAAAAATTTGCCGGGAAACCGCCTACTAATTCATATATTTGGTAAATTTGTTTCTCTCATGGTCTGTGAGAGATATAGGGTAGTCCCATATACATCTTTCTGTGTATAGTGCTTGTAACTTTACGAAGAATGGGCCAAATTTCTTATCATTTTGATGATTCCAGAACCTTGCAGATGCTAGATGCTAGATGATCAACCTTTTCTGATCGATTCCACAACGTTTCTTTCACAATGCAATCGCATGACCATAACTGGTCTTTACCTTTAAACTCACTTCAACAGCTGCCCTTTGCATGATAAAGTGTGATACAGATTTGATAAATGTCCATATGCAGGTCAGAAAGCCTTTTAGATTTCGCTGATTTGCAATTTGCCTCTATCATCCGGCCAGGACCCTGTTGCATACAACTTACCATTGATGGTAACTTTGCCATCAATGATAATTACTACCATGGTAACAGGGCTCAACAGCCAATCAAAATCAAGGTTTCCATGGTAGTTACCATTAATGGCAAAGTTACCATCAATGGTCAGTTTCAAGCATTGTATAGGTCTCTGGAATTTACAACCATTCCGATTCTCACTCTGTGTATGTTTCTGAATTTCCCTGACATAGATCATCGACATTTTCGACAATCATGTGGAAACGTACTGTGGGCGGATCCCGGTGTTTAGCTATATCTCCCGTGGCAACGAGATCCTGGTCCAGTTTAAGACCGATCTGAACATGAACTACAGAGGCTTCAACGCGTCTTACAGGTCCATCTCTAGAAGAACACCAAATGGTAAGGTGTTCTTGATGTTCATGTTTTGGGTGCTGTTGACATATTGGTGGTGCTTGTGTGTTAGTGGTGTCTGTCTATTAATGGTGCTCACTTAATAGTTAGGCCCTGCTTTTTTTTCTGTTTTTTTAAACCGGAGTGTTGGCTCAGTCAGTAGAGCGTCCGCCTCGAAACCGGAAGGTTGTGGGTTCAAACCCCGGCGGCGTCATACCAAAAGATGTTAAAAGACGGGAGTTGCTGCTACCTTGTTTGGGGTTCAACAATAAGGGGATAGAGCACCGTCAGTTGCTCAGTGGCTGCAGGGCTCACGATTAGTTGGGCAAAAAGAATTTCCATTTTCAGTTTAATAAAATTTGGAGAGGACTTTAAAAGATTATAATTATTATTGTTGGTGGTGCTTTCATACCGTGGTGGTTCACATGTTTTGGGGATGGATGTATATTGATGGTGCTTCACCATCACCCAATAATGGCGAACTTGATGTGCAAACAGACATACCAATATGACACTGAACCATGTTTCCTTCTTTCCAGATTGGGAACTTGTCTACCGAGTGGCAAAAGGAGGCGAAACCGAGGCTCTTGATAAGTTCCTGATGCAGGATCGGGGCTACAGCGAGTCTGACCCCAATGCAAAGGGAACCACAATTACTCGCTCTCTTGCTACCTTCAAGGATTCAGATGTCCCAAATTGGGAGAATATCGGAATCAGAAAAGTAGGTTGAACCCAATGTAGTAGTAGTAGTAGTAGTGGTGGTGGTGGTAGTGATGGTGGTAGTAGAAGTAGTGGTTATGGTGGTGGTGGTTGTGGTAGTGGTAGTAGTAGAAGTAGTGGTTGTGGTGGTGGTAGTGGTTGTGGTAGTAGAAGTTGTGGTTATGGTGGTGGTGGTTGTGGTAGTGGTAGTAGTAGAAGTAGTGGTTGTGGTGGTGGTAGTGGTTGTGGTAGTAGAAGTTGTGGTTATGGTGGTGGTGGTTGTGGTAGTGGTAGTAGTAGAAGTAGTGGTTGTGGTGGTGGTAATGGTAGTGGTTGCGGTAGTAGAAGTTGTGGTTATGGTGGTGGTGGTTGTAGTAGTGGTAGTAGTAGAAGTAGTGATATTGGTGGTGGTAGTAGTAGTAGTAGTAGTAGTGATAGTGTAGTAGAAAGGAGGAGGAGGAGGAGGAGAAGGAGAAATAAGAAGAAGAAATAAAAAGAAGATAGGAGAAGGAGGAGACAAAGAAGACTTTATTGGATAACTTGTAAGCACAAGGCTAAGATCCAATGTTAAAACACTTATGTTATACTACCCAATCTTACAATATAAACGTTTTTTCTTATGTAGTTTCTCAAAATAATCCTCTTTAACCCTACAAATGCTACCAAGTTACAAAATAATACACAATTTATCACAGGTAAGATTCTGTTATACTGAATTTCATTTTATTTTTTAAATTGATGTTAGCATTTTATGAACTCCCTTTGAATTTCTGGAAGAAAAAAAAAAAAACAATTTTTTGCTTTTAAATTTTGGCAGTTTGGAGTGCTTGCAGCACTGAAAACAGAGGCAGGAAAAAAATTTAATGAAATAATTGTAAATGACTATAAATGGCTGCTGAAAATAAAGATGGATGTTGGGATAATAAAAATGATCACATTTTTGGACATGGCCTTTTCATTCTACTTCATATTTTGAATGTCCATGCAGGTCAAAGTTGACGCCTATAAGTCGGGAAGCATCATAGCAACTTTCCGCTTTGATGGCCATGGCACAAGTCTCAGTGACTGGTTTAGTTGCGAGAAGATGACCTACAGCGGTTACGACGACCTCAACTCAAAAGATTGTGGTGGTCTCGTGTTTGGCCTTACAGGAATGCCGCCGGAGTTTGAAATCACGTAAGATTTTAGTTCTATTACCTACCCCAGATGCAATCCTTTTCAATTAGAGGTGTCGTGGTCGAGTGAATACGTCACCGGACTGTTGATCAACAGGTTCGCGGTTCGAGTCCTGCCGCAGCACTAATGTCCTTTGGCAGTACATTGATCTACATTTGCCACACTCGACCCAGTTGATGGATATGGGTACCTGGCAGGAATTAATTCCTCGAAATGATAGAGCGCCGTAATGGCCGCCTTGCTAAAGCGAGGGTAATAATCGGGCAGCGCCAGGAGCCTCACAGCGTGGCGGACATGTGCGCTATATAAGAACCCATAATTATTATTATCTGGTTCATATTTATTAATTCACATCTCTTAGATAATACAATGTATAAAGCAGAAATAAACGATTACTGGTAAACGATGAACAATAAGAACAACATTAAACAGAAAAAAAGACAAATGATACAAATTAGAAAAGGTGCGCACACTTATGATGAAGTGGATGTAAGAGAGTAGCAGAGGCCATTGACCTGTCAAGGGTACTCCCCGTATTGTAGATTTGAATATGTCTATTGCCATAGGGAATCGATAAGAGTTGCCAAGGCAATACTTAAGGGATTGGTTATCTTTGTCTCAGATTCTGAAACAAAATCCTGGATTTAGCTCATGCTGCAATGATAATTATATAAACCTTTAGGTCAGTCAGGAACCCCATGACTTTCACAAGCCGATCGCCTGTCTGGTTTACAAGATATTTTAATTTCCAAACGGTTTTTATAACACTTCAGTCTATTGGGTAATTATGGTAAAACCGGTCACCCAAAGATTTTTACTTTTTTGAGGCACTTCTTGATCATTTTGAAGCGCAATTTGTTTAGGGCTTCAATATTACACCATATCACAGACACTGATAACACGTAGGGCCATGCATCTTAGATTTAACATTGTTAAATGATGCCTTTAATATATATATAGATAAGTAGATACTTTGTTTTCTTGTATGAAAGGTTGTATTGATATACCTGTAGCTAGTTATGCTGGGACTATATGTATAAGATCATAACAAAAGCTACATTTATTAAAGGTAAGGTTTTCATTTTGACAAATCATTGATGATCGATTGCAAGCAATATTTTGGTCAAGTTATTCAATCAACATTTCAAGGTTAATATTTTGAGGGCTAGAATTCTTGCCCAGGCAAAATTTAATTGGTTGTCAAAAATGAATATTACTACTTTTTGTCTGGAAATAAAAATTTCAGTTTCAATTTTTGTATTGTAGAACAACAATTGCCAACGGCAAGACGTGCGATGATGACATGGATCATAGGGTGTGGCTCGATGTCCAAGATGTTGCGGAAGAGGGGGATTGTACATACGAGGAGCCGGAAATTGATATCAACTCCATCATCTTCGTTAGCAGCGCTACGACGGGAGGGGAAACTGCAACGGGTACGTATGATACACTATGAATATGATGAACAAAGAAAGCGGACAAAATATTCAGTTCCTCAGGTAGACAAAGGAACATCCCTTCACTGCTATTATGTAAAAAGGTGAATATGCATGTGACACCTGTTCTACACATTTTTAAGTAATAGCAGTGAAGGGATGTTCCTTTGTGTACCTGAGGAACTGTATATTTTGTCCGCTTTCATTGTCAGTCATGTTCAGAGTGATATGTGTTGCAACGGAAAGAGAAACAGTAGGTTTGAGGGTGCACCATGTGAGAGAGGGGGTTGAGGAGTCCTGAAAAGTACTCTGACTCAGTAATCTTTCTTGGGGGTGTGGTAGTCCTGAAAAGGACTGTTTGTTATCTTTCTTAGCGTATAGTTCTAAGGAGAACTATAGCGCTTGGAGAGGATGAGTGGCTCGACGTTTCGAACAGGTTGACTATCCGTCGTCAGGAGACTGTATACCTACATCACAATGCTAGCCGACACTTACAAGCAGCATCTAACCACAGGTTTGTCCTGTAGTTATGATGGTAGTAGTGAACAGAATTAGAAACTACTGTAAACTAATAAAATAATCTCTTGCCAATCAATCACTGAATTAAACACCAATCATGCAAACCAATCATGCAAGCCAATAGCAAAATAGGATTTAAGAATATTCGTAAGAAAAAGGAGAAGAGAACCATTGATAGAAGTGGAAATATGTAAATGAGAAGAGAACATACCACCTGTTCTGGTATGTGGTGGAGATGAATGGAGGAAATGAATATGCAAATGATGTGAAATGAATATGCAAATGATGTGAAATGAATATGTATGGGGGAGAAGAGACTCGAGAAACAAATAGTAATTGTGACAAATTAAAATTTAACACCATAGATACAATTGTAATCTACTCAGATTTCCTGTGTCATGTACCTGAGGTACATGCATCATAACAAATAACCAGAGAATAAAAAAGAAATGTTCTTTTTCTAGAGAAAACAAATAGTAATTGTGACAAATTAAAATTTAACACCATAGATACAATTGTAATCTACTCAGATTTCCTGTGTCATGTACCTGAGGTACATGCATCATAACAAATAACCAGAGAATAAAAAAGAAATGTTCTTTTTCTAGAGAAAACAAATAGTAATTGTGACAAATTAAAATTTAACACCATAGATACAATTGTAATCTACTCAGATTTCCTGTGTCATGTACCTGAGGTACATGCATCATAACAAATAACCAGAGAATAAAAAAGAAATGTTCTTTTTCTAGAGAAAACAAATAGTAATTGTGACAAATTAAAATTTAACACCATAGATACAATTGTAATCTACTCAGATTTCCTGTGTCATGTACCTGAGGTACATGCATCATAACAAATAACCAGAGAATAAAAAAGAAATGTTCTTTTTCTTCATGAGCCTGGTTCTTTATAACGGCTCACTACCTGAAACTTCTATCTTAAAAATTTGGAATTACATGTTTTTAAAAATATTAGTCTTTCAACTTTTTTAGCATTACCCATTTTGAATAGCCACACCGTGACAACAAATGTTTGGTATACACACTTTAGAGTAAAGAATAGTTTGACACCTGTACAATTACATTCAGGATATATCTGCCCAGTCTCTACCACAGTCTGACACTACCACAGGTTTGTCTTATAGTTGTGATGGTAGTATTGATGTGCTGCAACAGAAAGAGAAACGGCAAGGAACGTCTCGTTGTAGTGATGGTAGTAGTGATGATATGTGCTGCAACGGGAATAGAAAAAACAACAGCTTTGTTCAGAGGTTAATTACACTATACAGAGTTTGATGGCAGTAGCAGAGCTGCCAACAGTACGTTACGACCCTAAGATTTTCCTCAATAATATTTTTTTCTTCTCTTTTTTAATAGCAAAATGCCCATTCTCTCCTGTAAAGAAGAAATCTGTAACCATGAATGAAGTTTGAATATCCTTGATTATTATTCAACTGTTTTAATATTTTTTCTCTTTTTTTCTTTTCTCATAGGAGCAAACATAGCCGAAGCAGACGTGTTCACCATCTGGGTTCAAAAAGGTATTAAAGAATCGTACCAATATTGCACTTGCTCTAACAGCGTGTGCATTTTAACCCTATATAGCCCGGGCTATTTTGATATCATAATCAGTGGGTTAACTTTGGTGGGACATGCACTTTTTTTACGTTTCATGTTACTGCTGAAGTTTGGATGAGGTGTTTAGACACTTGACTGTATAGTATACAAATATACTCTGTCTTGAGAGGTTCTGGTTAAAACTATGTGCAAGAGATGACTCCAATAGTACTATATGCCGAGTCACCGAGGTCCATAGTTTTAACCAGTACCTCGAATAGAGGCATGGTATATTTGTTTTATATCCTGCATCAAAAATTTATTTCATTTTTTAAAATAATACTAAAAAAAATTTGGAAAAACAAAATTTAGAACAAAAAAAATGTCAATTTTATCTAAAAAGATTTAAAATATTTTGTTTTCATTAAATTCAGATTTTAAAAAAAAACAAAAAACAAAAAACATTCAACTCCCAAATAGTAAACCCAAACAGTACTCTCATATAGTACTTTCTAAAAATAGTTCAAATATTTCTGGTCATGTGATGAGCTCTCAACCAATCAAAAGCCAACAAATTTTTGATGCAGGATATAATTTATACTATTTTCTTGTGGGTACAACTTCCTTGCGGAAGAAACGGACATTTGCCGCTCTTTAAAATGGCGTCACCCATCATACTTAGAGGAGATGTTGGGCAAGCCTCTCGCAAGCTTTCTTGTCCTGAAGAGAAACTTTTAAAATATAAAATATGTATAAAGTTAGTATAACATCTCTGTTGTTTCGGTCATAACGGCCCCTTAGGAATAACAGTATTAATGCCAGTGGGTCTTCCCTGGTTAAACAAAAAATGGCATAACATCTGTAGAGGTTAGCTATTAAGAAAAGAATTCAATAATTTTCAGCAAATTGTATGATATGTCTTAATACGATTTACTGGATAATTTTACTGTAGTTTTTTTATGTCTGTATAAATATTAATGTTTTTACGCAATGTAAAAAAATTCTGCAATTCAGCCATTTGGCTGCAAATGAATTTTCAATAAAACCATTACCATTACCATCCCATCTCTTTCTTGAAGATTGCGATGAAAGAATCTCGCCAGCCAGGGACAGCCCTGTAAACATTGCTTCCAAGGGGCACGATGAGCTTGACTACAACAATAACGAGTATTGCGATCTCTATCTGAGTGTCCATCCGTTTGATCGGCTCGCGATTGAATTCACCGATTTTGAGCTGGAAGAAGATGAGTGTCTCGCAAATGATTACGTCCAGGTAAGGATTATTTATTTTGTTTTATTCTATTTCATTTCCAGGAACATAAAAGGAGTATAACAAAGAAAACGAATTACAATAGTAAATACAATAACGGGGAAAAAATGCCTGAGGATTACCAAAAGAAACAAGTTTATTAGTAGATGATATAATACATAAACTATACCCAAATATACATAAATGACATAAGATATATATAATGAAATGAAAGTAAGATGCAAAGGCAAATCATGAGATCATAAATATAAAATAATCATATGTTACCGCTAATGGATTTGAGGGACATGCAGGGCTATCGTGAATAAAGTATTTTTTACTCTTATGGTGAACATTAAGTCTGCTGCCCACTTAAGGCTGTCCTAAAGGCATCGTTTAACAATGTTAAATCTGAGATGCATGGCCCTACGTGTTATCAGTGGCTGTGTAGGTAGGGCAATTAAGCCATAATGTTGTCACACCAAGCAACAACTAATGTATGCAATTTGAATTCTAATTATTTAATGAGATACATTTATTTTTAATGGGGGAATGAAATAACTTGTATTTAGGTTGCTTCACAATGAAATATGCATAACTTTGGTTACACTACAAAAAAATTATTTGTAAATCAGATTCAATTTTTAAGATTTATAAAAGCTTCTGCCTTTTTCTTGGTGAATTAATGTGCGATTTATATTCTGGGGGGTCTGTGTCACAATATGTGACATCCGCACAGCGAGTGTCAACCATTCTTTTTTTTCCTATCTCAGATTGAGAACATAGAAACGGCCTTTGCGCAGATCTTCTGTGGTGTTCAACACCAAGTAGTATGGACCGCTACTGCGAATGCTGCCATCTTGAGGTTCAGAACGGACAGTGTGGTAACGTACAATGGTTGGGGTGCCAGTGTGAGAGCAGAACGGCGAAATTTGGAAGGTAAGGAACTCTATCTGTTAGTGGTAGTAGATGCTACCACACTACCACTACCACTCCCATGCACTATCACTACCATACTAGTGCCGCAACCACTACCATTACCACTTTAGTTTAGAGCTACTACTACAAACCAGAAACATCCACACGCGTGAATCTTGTGCATATTTTTGCAAGTGATTCAGATCACTTTCCCGCCACAAAATGATTGAATAAAAACTTGTGCAACACTGAAATTGTGTGATAAACAAAGGGTATAGTAGATAGCCTGGACTGCTACATATTTGACTGTTCGGTTATGACCGGGGTAATAATATATGAGGACCAGGAGCGTCTGACTCGATGGACAGCAGTGAAATGCAAAAGCATCTACCACCACTACCATTATTACTACCCTACCACTACCACTTACAAGTACTAATACTTTCACTACCACTCCCACTCTCATGTACTACCATTACCATTCCATCAATACCAGTACCACTGACACACTGCAACTACCACACCACCACCACCACCACCACCACTAACACCTTAATCTAACACACTACCATCACTACTACCACACCAAGACTTAAATGCACTAACACTAAAACACTACCACTACCACTAACACTACTAACAATCCCACTTTATTGCACTACGACTAATACAACCACACTACCACTTTCATGCACTACCACCTTCATTGCCACTGCCACCACACCACACCACACTACCACCACTAACACCTTAATCTAACACACTACCATCACTACTACCACACCAAGACTTAAATGCACTACCACTAACACACTACCACTACCACTAACACTACTAACAATCCCACTTTATTGCACTACGACTAATACAACCACACTACCACTTTCATGCACTACCACCTTCATTACCACTGCCACCACACCACACCACACTACCACCACCACCACTAACACCTTAATCTAACACACTACCATCACTCCTACCACACCAAGACTTAAATGCACTACCACTAACACACTACCACTACCACTAACACTACTAACAATCCCACTTTATTGCACTACGACTAATACAACCACACTACCACTTTCATGCACTACCACCTTCATTACCACTGCCACCACACCACACCACACTACCACCACCACCACCAACACCTTAATCTAACACACTACCATCACTACTACCACACCAAGACTTAAATGCACTACCACCAACACACTACCACTGCCACTAACACCAGGGAATAATTTTCCTCAAATATTTTGATTAGCAATTTCAGCTGATGGATAAATATTTCAAATGAAATTCTGTACATTTCTATGGAAGAAAACTGCTACACAAACAATATTTTGTATAGCAGTCATGCAAAAATGCATAGCAAATTGCGATGCGATACCAGGAAAATTATTCCCTGAACACTACTAACAATCCCACTTTATTGCACTACGACTAATACAACCACACTACCAATTTAATGCACTACCACCTTCATTGCCACTGCCACCACACCACTATGACTACCGATATAATGGTCATTATTTAGTATATATATCACAATTGTAAATCATCACAATCTTATTATGATTACCGTCATATTAATCATTCTTATTATCATTAATTATTCATTACAAATGTGTGTGTTTAATAACTTCCAATGTAGATTGTTCCACCGTCACCGTGAACCCAACCGGCAACGTGACCAATCCCGATTACCCCAACTCACTCCAGGATTATCGCTACTACGCCTGCGAGTTCATCGTACACGCCCATCCGGAGGACCGAGTTATCTTCTCATTCTCGCGTTTCATCTTTGAGACAGAGAACCCACCAGAGTTGCAGGTACCTTTTCTGTTGTAATTTGGACATTCGAATTGGCCACATTCAAATTGGCCACATTCAAATTGGCCACATTCAAATTGGCCACATTCGAAGTGGGGACAATTGAAGTTGCGTTCTTTTCAACAGGAGTTTTATACCCATTGCCTTTAACCAGGTGGTTAAGGTATAAAAAGAATGCTGTAGAGTACAGGTCAATATTTACTACTAAATCAAATGTTAGTGAATGAATATAGTGTTTTTAAAGGGATAGTTGAGTTCTGTTTTCAGACCGCAAATGCCTTCAAAGTGCATGGTTATTGCTCTTATTCTTATATATAACATGTCTAGTGCCCTTTTAGAACCTAAAATTGCTATGAAAGATATTTAAGACCCCCAAAATGTGTGAAATTTAGCCAATACGATCATACCAATTCAGCTCCACTTTAAAAAAAAATGGTGACCGGCTGGTTGTGCCTTATATAACCAACACGAAAACGCCAACAAAAAAGCCAACATCGGCATTGGCTGAAATACAATGTAAAAGGCGCTATTTCGTTTTTTCAACAGGTTTTTCAAATTATCTAATATTTGTGGTGGTACAAAAGTATTAGAAATTGTTATATTTATGGATATTTCAGCTGTCTCTGAACCGATTTTGATCAAACAAAGATGATTTTGTCTTTCAAATTTGACACTCAATTTTTCATTATCTCACAAAAAAATTAATTTGTGTAGCGCCCTCTGCAACAGAACTCAAGTATCCCTTTAACAGTTTGTATTAAAAAGGAATAATGATTTACTTTTAACTTATTCAATTTTAATGCCTGTTTTGCTCTAGATGTATTCAGCTAGTTTATAACCAGCAAATATGACCAGATTAAAATTATCCTTGATGAACTTGTAATACTTATATCGGGGACTCTTCATGTGGTTTCCTGAAAATCTGTCAATTCAAATTTCTAGAAGGGCTGCATCCCACTTACCCCCCTCCGCCAGCCCGACCTCGGACACCTGTTACATGACGCTTAATACATTTATTTCTGCATGACCTTTAACCACAGATTGACCCAAGGTCAACCCGGGCCAACTTCATCGATGTGTCGGGTCGTCTCTACCCCTTCTCTTGGACCTCTGATACCAACGAGCTAGCGCTTATCTACCACGCCCCTCTTCCCTACCGGACCTACATATTCTTTGAGGGCGACTACCGCACCCTAGAGGCTCCTCGACCGGCCAGTAAGTACCTTAACCCGTTACCTATGGAACCGGGTGGTTAATGCAAAGCTGGTGCTTGTGATTTCAGTTTTGTGATAATCCACTGCACAAAAAAGTCACTTGCTAATCTGTACTGGAGGATACTACATTGGAATATTTTTAAACAGCTCGTAACAATGCTTTTTTAATCCCAGAGACTGTTCTTTTCTGTACTAACAAACCCAATTAGTATTTCATCTTTCCCGATTTAATTATCTGTTTAATTGATTTGAATGGGCGTATTGTATAACTTTGTCAAATATCTACTTTTTTGCCAACATAACAAAAGGTATTATATTCAAACTGGATTCTAAGTATAGTAGTTCATCCATTAATAACAGGTTAATGGAATAACTCGTCAATAGGTCCTCAGGAAAGAAACGTCCATAACTTTGAATATGTTAGTAAACTGGTCCATTGGATAATTGTTTTTGTACGTTTTTTTTAACACTCAGCCTGCCAACGGTTTGCGGATGCCGATCTGGGAGGGACGTTCTCCTGGCCGACGGAATCTCTGTCGACCGGTCTGCAGAACTGTTACGTGATCGTGAGGTCCGACCCAGTCGAGCATAGACGAGTCCAGATAATCTTTGACAATCTTAAGATGCCCCAGTCGGATTGCAATAGCTACATCAATGTAAGTAGGCTTAAAGAGGGCAGGTCGTTGTTTTTGTTGGTTTTTATGGTGTTTTTCATCGTTGTTGGATGATATTCACCAGGTTCCATGAGCAGACGCTCATAACTCACTGACACTAGACATTGTGAAAATCAAGAAATACCCCTCTCGTCTTTCGGAGAGTCTTTGGGTGATGCGAATGTTTAAAAAAAGCAAGTTGAGTCAGATAAAGATTAGTTGTTAATGTCGAACATTTCCTCCCTATATTCCTGTAGACTCTTGATACCACTACAAGGCGTAACGACATGTATTGTCAGAGAATCCGCATCCCCTTCGCATGGACCTCAGATGCCAATGAGGTAAGTTATCACTTACCGTCATTATTGCAATATTCAACTATATCGTAGTCGTCTTTCACCATCATCACCACCATCACCTCTGCCACCATCATCATCACTACAACAGTCATCACCATCATCACGATCATCGCCCACCATCACTGTCACCACCATTGCCATCACCATCAACCACCACCATTACCACAACCGCAACCACCACCATCGTCATCATTACCAGTATTCATTCTCACTATTCTCTGATTTTCACTGATTTACTTTATATTTTCTTTCTGTCTGAATCATTTTCCTTAATCTCACCTCTCTACTTTGTCTTTTGTATTTCTTAATACCTGCATGCTTCCCTCTCATGTTCTTGAAATGACATATTTTTTTAATCTTCGTAATTTAAATCTTCAGTGTCTCAATATTTAGGTTTCTCTGTTCATCATCATTACCATTACAAATTTATGATAATCATTCATCCATACAGTCGTTGTCAAAGGTACCATCTTCTGTAATCTCTCCACAATCTACCTGTCTGACGAGAATGTTTTACCCATTTTGTTTTAACAGGTCGTGATTAAATTTTTCCATGGGCCGACCTTCGCTCTCCACCAGGTCAACGTACTTTACAGGAGCCGAGCAAGGGTTCGTCCTGAAGGTAGGTCAAAGGTCATTCCAGCTGCTGACCTCTTGGTTGTCTCATTAACATAGGCTAATTAAAGCCCCACTGCACTACTTATAGTTACTAGCGCCCTCTATATAGCAAACGATGCCTAATCGGTGACCATTGGTCCCCCAAGATGCTCCTTTTCTTAATTGAGAGCTGATTTGATGATATAACCACCTGTCACTGACCTTGCAGGGAGGTCTAATTACCTCCTGTACACTAGTACAGATGGACTTTAAGAAAAGGTTGAGATCTGGGAGAGGTGAAAAGTAATTTATGACCTCTTTCATTCTTTGCATTATGTTGGTGTTGAAGCATATTTTAGGGAACATACTTGTCCCATGCACGAGAATGGCTCACAAAATGCCCTCATATTAAAAATATAACCAGAAATAGCTGAAGGGATCAAATCAAACTGTCATGTCACATAAAAGTTGTCATGTCTGTGAAGTAATTATTTGACATGTCTAAATGGAATATTAGGTAACAACAAACATGTATTTACCCACCTCTATATCCTAAGAATGTTATGTGATCAAATTATTTATTTTGTGTTTGCAATTATACATTTTACATTCCAGAAGCATCTTTTTAAATTTCATTTTGCTAAGCTACCAGAGTCGGCATGGAAATATTAGTTCTAGGACACCTACCCCCCCCCCCGGACAACTACCCCCCCCCCCCCCATGACGACCATCCTCTAGCTATTGACAACTATCCTAGAGGGTAGTTGTCTCAGGAGTAGTTGTCCTAGAGGGTGGTTGTCCGGGGGTAGTTGTCCTGGAGGGTAGTTATCCTAGGGGGTAGTTGTTCTAGGGGGTAGTTGTCCTAGGGGGTAGTTGTTCTAGAGGGTAGTTGTTCTAGGGGGTAGTTGTCCTGGAGGGTAGTTATCCTAGGGGGTAGTTGTTCTAGGGGGTAGTTGTCCTAGGGGGTAGTTGTTCTAGAGGGTAGATGTCCTAGGGAGTAGTTGTCAAGGGGTTAGTTGTCTGGGAGTTAGTTGTCTGGGGGTAGTCATCCTAGAGAGTGGTTGCCCTAGGGGGTAGTTATCCTAGGGCGTAGTTGTCAGGGGGTTAGTTGTCTGGAGGTAGTCGTCCTAGAGGGTGGTTGCCCTAGGGGGTAGTTATCCTAGGGGGTATTTTTCCTCTCGTATAATTCTTGATCTCACATTTATACTCTTGATCTATCTTCTATGGATATTTTTTCTGCAGATGCCAAAGTGTTGACGGCTCTGACGGGCGGTGACTTCAGCAGCCCCAACTACCCCCAACCCTACGATTCACAATCCAAGAAGGAGTACCTCTTGCACGCCCCTGCAGAACATCTCGTCATTGTTGTCTTCAAAGACTTCTCGGTTGAAGGTGAGTTCTCAAACCTGTGTTGTGGAACAAATTGACTGTCCATCGCCAAATTGGCAAAGTTCATGTATTCCTTTATGTGCTATACTGTTTGTTGTTGTTGTTTTAGTATTAAAGGCGTGTGTCATTCAATTATGAATATTTACGTCGTGTGTTCTGATATGATACAGTCTTTACAAATAAAACATTGATGAATATAATCACCAAGAAGAGAAACCGAAGCGTGAGGATGACTTTGGTCTGTTTCGCAAACGCTGACCATGTAGAGTTTAAGTCACCGACTACCGATAATCAAGTCCATTGGTTTATGTGCAGTTGTCCAAAAGAAGATGTAGATGGCGTTAACCAGTCTTTGCCAAGCTACACTCCCTTTAAAGCCCCACTGTCCTACTTGCAGCTACTTGCTCCCTCTATATAGAAAACTTCCCCAATCGGTGCCTGTTGGTCCCCCATGAGCCTCTATTTCTTATGTTATTTGAGAGCTGAGTTGATGAGATAGCCACCTTTCAGTGACCTCGCTGTGTGGTCTAATCCCACCTAGCCACACTAGTGTTGATGAGCTTTAAGTCCAACTTAAAATCAATCTCAGTCTTTATGAAACACTCAACAGAACTCAATAGTTCTCTTTTTAACCAACTCTTGTATATCTAGGTGCCATAGAACCAAATCCTCCTCAGGAGCCTGTTTTTATTATCTAAAGATCATACATCCCTCGAGAGGCAATTAAATGCTAGTAAATGGTGAGAGCAAACAGTGGCATGAACGGCCTGTCCAACTAAAGTCAATCTTGTTCTTTATAAAACACTCACCAGAACTCAAATGTTCTCTTTTAAACCACCTCTTGAATATGTAGGTGCCATAGAACCAAGTCCTCTTAAGGAGCCTGTATTAAGGCCTGTTGTCCAAAAGTTGTCCAAAAGAAGACGTAGATGGCGTTAACCAGTCTTTGCCAAGCTACACTCCCTTTAAGTCCAACTTAAAATCAATCTCAGTCTTTATGAAACACTCACCAGAACTCGAATGTCTCTTTTAAACCACCTCTTGAATATGTAGGTGCCATAGAACCAAGTCCTCTTATAGAGCCTGTATTAAGGCCTGGCCGTAGCGTGGAGGACCTCTCCGCTCACTACAAACACATGTACAAGAGGCAGACGATAGTAGAGCCACCTACACCTGAATGCCGCTACGACTATGTTTCGGTATGAACATACAGGGATTTTTTGCTCCCTAAATTCTTGATTTATGTTTGTATTAAAGATGTGGCCTTGTGCGTTTGACATTGTGTGGCCTAGCTATCTAATGATAAAAGATGAATAAAGTTTTCTGCATTCTGAATTGCTGATTGTTCATGCAGTTTGTGAAATGTTGCTTTCTGGTATTATCAAAATTGAAAATCGAAACTTGAATCGAAACTTGAACATTACATTACATCCTCTCCAAGCGCTATAGTTCTCCTTAGAACTATAAGCTAAGAAAGATAACAAACAGTCCTTTTCAGGACTCCTCAACCCTCTCTCTCACATGGTGCACCCGCAAGCCTACTGTATATCTACATCACCATGCAAGCCGACACTTACAAGCAGCATCTACATGAACATTACATACAATCTTGATAATAAAAATAATGATATACCATAATTATATAGCGCATATCACAATATGTCTTTATTGCTGTAAGAAAGAGTAAGAAGGAAAGGTGGGTAGCGTAACATAAGATGAGTGAGATAAGCTCAACATACTTCCTCTCGTTAACATGGGAAAGTATTTTTGAAAAGAAATGTTTTAAAGATAAAGACCAGTTCTGGTCATGCGATTGCATTTTGAAAGAAACGTTGTGGAATCGATCAGAAAAGGTTGATCATCTAGCATATAAGTCAGGGTTGTGTACTGCAAGCTTCTGGAATCATCAAATCGATAAAAAATTTGGCCCAGTCTTTGTAAAGTTATAAGCACTGTACACAGAAAGATGTATATGGGACTACGCACATGTGCGCGACACATGCGTTTATCTCTCACACACCAATAGATAAACTAATTTACCAAATATATATCAATAAGTAGGCGGTTTCCCGGCAATTTTTTTATCATGTATTATTCAAAACATACTCTTTCACATGATTGGTAATAAGAGCTTCCATTTAATTTTTTGAAATTGGGGTGTTTCCAAAACTGGTCTTTACCTTTAAGATGCGCCTTTAAAGATGTCAATAGTACAATTCACCAGATGTTTAATGTGTTTTAAAAACAATTGATTCCGCTGGTTTGGTGGACAGGTTGAAGACGTACTGGTGAACACGGAGACCAAGTACTGCGGGGATCAGCAACCGTTTGGTGTGGCGACTCAGGGCAACGAGGCCCTAGTCCTGTTCCTGACTGATGAGACCGTTGAGAAACGAGGATTCACCGCTCTCTATGCTTTTGAGCCTCGACCGGCTATATCAGGTTTGTGGTTTGACCGTAAACTAAAATCGATTTTGTTTTGCAATTTCAACTTAGTTGAATATTCAATATATCTATTAGTTGCTGTCTCTGATTAATACTTGGACAACTGTCACGAAATACACTCGTTTCTTTATATGTTGATACTTCACTTTTGAACTTGAACTTTAGTTACACTCTGTGCATGTGCATGAAGCCTCATTTATCTTCCTCACACCACTTGCAATCTGCAGTCCATCTTCATGATAGGCTGCATAGCCCTTTGAAGATTACTAGAAGAAGAAGACGAAGAAGATGGTAGTTAAAGATAAACTTTAGTACTGGTAATGTGATTGCATTGTGAAAGAAAAGGTGTGGAAAGGATCAGAAACAGTTGATCATGTAGCATGTAAGTATTGGTGTGCACTGCAAGGTTCTGGAGTCATCAAAATCATAATAAATTTGACCGAGTCTTGGTAAAGTAACAAGCACTGTACACAGAAAGCTGTATATGGGACAACACACATGGTGTCAGGGCTAGTACTACCTTGATTTCCTTGTTTTTCTATGCTCATTACTCAGCCAGTATACATTTTCTTCCAAAATTATTTGGCACATGTCATTTATTTGTAATCTTGAACATTCAGTGTAAGTTTCGTTTGATTCTGTGAGAATTCATTTTCTTTTTTTTACCAGAACTGGAGTTCATCTAGACAATGTTGCTTTAATATTTGTATTTCTGCTTTTGTTCTTCTTGAATTTTGTCTGTTTATTAAGTCACCAATGAATTAAATAATTGCTATGTATATCGTGTGTATTGCTTTATTCTTTTTATGGAAATGTGGAAATAAATCATATTCATATTCATACGTGCCATATCTTGCCATGGGTCAAGTTTTCAGAATTAGTCAGCTACAATCCCAATTTTCTTTTTCGATCCATTGCCTCTCAGACTGCGGTACGCTGCAAACCGCGGACCAGGGCATCCTCCAGTCTCCGAACTACCCTAACTACTACCCGGACGGGGCATACTGCCGAGACGTGATACAGGTGGACCCAAAGAACCGCATCGTTATCGACTTTCGTTTCTTGAACTTGGAGGATGATATCACCTGCAGTAAAGACTACCTTGAGGTATGTGTAATTAGTAGCTCAGGAATCCTTCATGGATGGCCTTTTTAGCAGGCCCGTTTTGAGTAAATGTTTAATCCTATACCCGCCCGGTAAAGCCAGTAGTCGAATAATGGACTTGATAACCGAATACTCGATGACTCATTGGGAACCCAAGAACATCGCCTAAAAAGAGTCTAAATGGATGTGAAATAGAAATCTGTCCAATAATTCTACTAAATCAAATTCCTACCTAACCTTAACTTAGAAGCAAACAACTAGCTGGCTGATGAGTTTCATGATTGAGTACCGAGCCTGCAACATCGGGATCACGAGCTATAAACACGAATACACGTGCGTACTAGGCGCTGATCAAAACATTGGCTCAAACCCAATCAATCAAAAAATGAATACTTTAGTTGTGATAATATCGGACAAATTTTACAATATAAATAATGAAATAAATATATATTATAGTACTATAATTTATTTTTTCTGGAAAATTACGATCTAAACATCTATAAGAACAGTAATTGAACGAGCCTGGACGGCCATATTGAATTTACCCATGTATACGTATAATACGTACCGGTATACATCGGTACGTACGGTAAATTCATTGTGGAAGTTTTCGTGAATCATAACATATTTAGACAAGCAACACTCGGCAAATCTGTTAAAATAATAATTTATTGTCGAATTGAAAACAGGAATCTTTTACAATTGCAAATAAAACAAGATTAAAAGGGAAATGTGAACCTTCTTTTCTTCACAAATAGTTACGTTTAAAGCCGGTTTTATGCAAAATTAGTGCTGGGCGGAAGCAGTGTTTTTAATCAGGAGTGTTGAGCGGAAATCCCCTGTGCTGGGCAAGCCCATCCAGCGCCGCCCACCGTAGCTGTAACGCTGCACCTATATTACCGACTAGTCAATTAATCGTCAAAAAAAATCACCGTGTAGACAACTGCCAAAAAGGGCTTTCAAAACAGGCCTACTTTTTAGGGCTAAATTTACTCCATATTGTCCTTCAAATTGGCAACAATTATGATAAGATGTAATATCTCAGAGAACAATATATATGTGTGTGAATTCATGGTTATGAGTGGGTGGGTTATTAATGTAGACAAATCCTATACAGCTATACATGTTATTACCAAAGAAGAAGAAAAATCCAGTCGGTCACTCAATACTGACAATAGTGTCTGACAGTGAAGTCTAGCAAGTAAACAGGTTTCCTTGCATAATTTGAATATTAGGACACTGCTAACGTTTAATTTTCACGGATAGGACATACATGACATATTCATAATTCCTGCAAAGTTCTACAGCATTTGAGGTTGGCTGCAAAAGGGACATAGTATCTTTAAAGCTTATTTTCCTCTTTTTTTTTTTTAATCTTTTTTTTTTACAGGTGCGTGATGTAGTAACGGGGAGAGCGGAGAGGTACTGTGGACACAAGGCTACAGCCTTCCAATGGAAGTCGGACACCAACCTGGTCTTCCTGACGTTCGTCAGCGACAATGCCAACAGCGATCCTGGATACGATGCAGGATACACCATAGAGGATAGATCAGATGAACCTAGTAAGAATTAGATTTTGGTTGGTGTTTTTGCTTGAAGGTCGAGGGTTGGAATCCCGACACGGCCGTAATATCCTTTGGCAAGATATCAGCCTGCACTTGCTACTCTCCACCCAGGTGTTAAATGGGTACCTGGTATGATGTGACCGTCGTTGTTGGTCAAAAAAAATTTGAGCGTTGAGTAACGCCTGGCTGGAATGCTCACCAGGAAGTGGAGATTGAATATAATAACCGGGGTAATAATATATCTGTAAAGCACTTAGAGACATCATAGATGTATTAGGCGCTATAGAAAATTGGAATATTATTATTTGTTTTACCCCACTGCTATTGTAGCATGTGTATGTTTGTAAGTTAGCAACAAGGGGACCAACGGCTTTATGTTGTCTCCGAGTGACTTGATGATGAGGATAGGCACCTAAATGAAAAGGTTAAATTCCAATGGCATTTGAAAGGTAATACTAATTTAGAACTTCCCTCAAAACGAAAGGGCTTGAAAATTTCTTTAAGTGGGAAAATAATGACTGTTAGTTATCAAATCGACTTATTAGTGATTGCAATCACTAAAGAAATGGTCTGATTTTCGGACCCTTGTACTGACTGGTCGTACGTTTGGGCAAAGATTCAATCAGTTTAATTTTGGCCATTACAAGAATTGGGTTATTGATGTAGAAAAATGCTCATGTACCCTTTACAGCTCATTTTATGTATGTTATTACCAAAGAAAAAAAAAGATGTCAGTCAGTCACTCAATAGTGTCTGACAGCGAAGTCTAGAAAGTAAACAGGTTTCCTTGCTTAATTTGAATATTGGGACACTGCTAACGTTTAAATTTAACAGATATGACATACGTGACATGTTCATAATTCCTGCAAAGTTCTACAGAATTTGAGCACCTTTAACAAAGGGCACTAGCGCATCGACTTGGTTTCCAACCCGGGACCTCCTGGGGGGTGTTTCACAAAGATCCTAAGTTGAACTTAACTCGAAGTTGGACTTAACAATTATGGAAAGCCATTAGCATCTTTGAAAATATTTTGTAAAAGTTATTTTAAAAGGCATAAAATGTTGATTCAAATCATTCATATTTTCTATTATCATGGGGGATTTCAGGTTCTTGATGTGGAATTTATGAAAAGTAAAAAATACTTGAATTTTTGCGGCTTCAAATGGCTCTCCATAATTTTTAAGTCCAACTTAGAGTTAAGTTCGACTTAGGATCTTTGTGAAACACCCCCCTAGTTTCAAGACCACGTACTGCTCACCACCTCTGAGGAATCACGCCTCCTTGTTAACCTAGATTCTCCTCTGAAAAAGTATCAAACTCTGAAAGCTGGAAACTGTAAAATTGTCTTAAAACGTATTTATTCAAAGTTGCTTTTGATGATTAACTTACCGGTAACTCTGTTCACATTGATATGTATTTCATATGTATTGTAATTTTTAGGTTTATTTGCACTTTTAGTAATATGTAATTGTTTATCAGTCTATTTTGTTTGTGATAGCGCTTAGAGACTTCGGCGACAAGCCCTTATAAATAACGTTTTTATTATTATTATCTTAAAAACTGTCATTTTGTTTTTCCTCCCGTGTCTATCCGTACAGCCTGCGTGCACACCATCACGGCAACGTCCGGTACCATCCACTCGCCGAGGTTCCCTCGAGACTACCCCAACCAGCTCAGGTGCGAGTACAACATCAAGGTGTATCCGGATTATGGAATCAAGCTCACCTTCCAAGAGTTCAACCTGGAGCCCCCCGCCCCGGGAAGCACGGACTGTGCCTTTGATTATCTACAGGTAGTCCTTACCATCATTATTAAATCAAAATTTACTTTACTTTTATTAAGGTAATACAAAGTTTTGGGAAATTTTGAAAATTGGGTAGATAATGATTCTTTACAATTTGGATATATTTGGATGCCCCTGTAGATGTATTATAAGCACTAGAAAATTTAGCCCCTAAAACACTTCTGTTTTCGAGAAAAATTTCAAATAGCGCCTACGGCCGTACAATAGTAGCTGCAACCATGAAATTCTCAGAATATGTAGTTGTGATATATAATTTCCAAACGAGAATAGTTAATCGGTCAATTCTAGTCGAGAAACATTGTTTTATAGCTTAATTAATATTTTGACCTTGAGAGGGAGCTATACAACGTTACATACAACAGTTTATTATTTACAATTTCATAACTTTAGACAACGATCATGGAATATTGTAAGATCACATATGCTTCCAATATGTTCATTTGAACCAAATTCATGACCCCACACCGAAACTTTGTATTACCTTAAAGAGAACTGTTGCTGAGCTAGCGCCACAAGCATCCCTGGATGGTGTGTGCGGGCTATATAAGTTTACACTATTATTATTATTAGCTGGCTCCATGCAAAATAAGAATTAAAACTATAGTTCATTTTGTTTTGCTTTTAAAGCCCCACTGCACCACTTATAGCTACTTGCGCCCTCTATATAGCAAACAATGGCTAATCGGTGACCATTGGTCCCCCATGATGCCCTTTTTCTTATGTAAATTGAGAGCTGATTTGATGAAATAACCACTTGCCAGTGACCTTGCAGGGAGGTCTAATTCCTCCATGCCAAACTGGTGCGGTGGGGCTTTAAATGAATAAGAACCATGGACACACCTACAGTTAACAACTACATTATTCATACCGTAACCCAATGTTGTAATTTTTTAAGTACGTGAAAAATTGATTCGTCTCGATTTACGTTTCTTGATAATCGACATATTAAAGCGGGGGGATTGGTCCTCCCTGTGTGGTCACTGACGGGTGGTTATCTCATCAAATCAGCTCTCAATTAACACAAAAAAAGGGGGACCATGGGGGACCAACGGGTACCACTAATGCATTGTTTGCTATATATAGAGGGTGCAAGTAAAGTAGTGCAGTGAGGCTTAAACAAAGGCCCTAATTCAACCAGTCCACCTTTCATTCTTGAGTCATTTACCATCTCTTAAAGAGTACTTTACCATCTGTTAAAGAGTACTTTACCATCTCTTAAAGAGTACTTTACCATCTTTTCAAGAGTACTTTACCATCTTTTCAAGAGTACTTTACCATCTCTTAAAGAGTACTCTACCATTTCTTAAAGAGTACTTTACCATCTCTTAAGGAGTACTTTACCATCTCTTAAAGAGTACTTTACCATCTCTTAAAGAGTACTTTACCATCTTTTCAAGAGTACTTTACCATCTTTTCAAGAGTACTTTACCATCTTTTCAAGAGTACTTTACCATCTCTTAAGGAGTACTTTACCATCTCTTAAGGAGTACTTTACCATCTCTTAAGGAGTACTTTACCATCTCTTAAAGAGTACTTTACCATCTCTTAAAGAGTACTTTACCATCTCTTAAAGAGTACTTTACCATCTTTTCAAAAGTACTTTACCATCTTTTCAAGAGTACTTTACCATCTCTTAAAGAGTACTTTAACATCTCTTAAAGAGTACTTTACCATCTCTTAAAGAGTATCTTACCATCGTTTTAAATTACTGAGATATAACAACCCTTTTCAATCCTTTTGCAACAACAGATTATTGACCCGACGACGGTCAACGTCGTGACAGCCGAGAAGCTCTGCGGCTCCAAGAACACTTTTGAACGTCAGATCCAGTTTAATGAAGTCAGTCTCATCTTTGTCAGTGATTTCATCACGTTCTACAAGGGTTTCCTGGTTGATTTCCAACAGATCTCGCTCGGACAAACCCCACAAACCGTCCAAACTACTAGTAAGCTACTTATTTTATTAGCTCATTTTATTACAACATGGCCAGAAGAATTTGTTCATAGTGCTGTAGACCAGGGGGGTGTTTCATAAATAGTTTGTAAATTTATGCATGACTTTACGAACGACTTGTATATATATATGAAGTGCCAGATAGAATGCCCAAAGTTTTTTCTGATATTTCCAATAACCTCAATTAAATTATGGCAAAAAATATACTTTGCATTAAAAATGTTTGTTATAATAAGAATGTTAATCTACATCTGCACAGTTCAACTTAATAAATAAAAATCAATAAAGATTGAGCATCCCATTTGGCTTTTCATATACAAGTCGTTCGTAAAGTCATGCGTAACTTTACAAACAGCTTTATGAAACACCCCCTAGGGCCCGTAATCAATTCAATACTTAGAATAAGTAAGAAATTTACTAAGTAAATGGCAAAGCTAAGAAGTTTATTTATCTCGTATTCAAATCGCATTTTATACTTTTACTTACCCGAGACAAAATCTAAGTAAGATACTTACTGATAAGCATTGTGACATCACACGGTCAATCAAAAGTAATGCGCAATAAATGCATGCTAATATAATTGTGCGCAGGTTATGATACTGTGTAAGAAAACCATATGCCTGCCAATCAAGGCCTCCAAATAATTGGCTCAAGTCTGGTAGGGAGCCGTCTTAAGTTTAGGGTAAAATACTCAGGCCAAAAGTTTGAATTGAATACCAAAATTGGCTTAATATTCTATCTAAGCCAAATACTAAGAAAAACGCTTAAATTTTGTACTTAAATATTGAATTGAATACGGGCCCTGGGGCGTGTTTCACAAAGACTAAGATCAGTTTTCCCGTTCAGCTCAGTAATCGGTGTGTTGACTCACCACTCGGAACTAGAACAACACTCCAATTTGTCTGTCATCTTTGGTTTGAAAGTAATGTAATAGATCTCAATATATAGTTTTTAATAATAATTCCTCCAATTTTTCTTCTATTACACACGGCGTGCCACAAGGTTCTATCTTAGGTCCTCTTCTGTTTTTAATTTACATTAATGATCTTACGTTCTTCTAAAAACTACATTGTTACTATTTGTGACAAGTTCACAAGCACAAATCAGCGCCTTCAACTGCATCTCGCAGTTAAATGAAAGGCCTTCCCGCGTGGGTTTTTTAACACGGACCTGGCTTGCTGCCGGTCGGGTTTTGAGTGGCGGTTAAACGGAATTGGAGATATCCGTGATGACCTTCTCTTGTTTGATTTTCTCCCAGGTTGCAATGAGCAGCTTACTGCTCCGTCAGGAACCTTCTCTAGCCCTGGTTACCCCGGTAACTATCCTGACAACTCCTTGTGCGTCACCCTCATCACTGTTGCCGTGGGTTACCATGTCAGAATCAACTTCAATGACTTCAATACAGAAGGCTATACAAGCTGCCCGTATGATTATGTTCTGGTAAGGATGAGGATGATAATGATCAATGATAATAATATAAAAATGATAATGATAATAATGGTGATGACAATGAGGAGGATGATCGCAATAATGATTATAGTGATGAGCAGGAGGAGGAGGAGGATGTTTATGATGATCAGGAGGAGGATGATGAGGACGATGATAATGATGACAAGTGGTACAGTCAAACCTACTTTAGTGATCACCTGTCTACAAAGACCACATATTTTTGTGTCCCTGGAATGGTTTCTCATTGGAACATGTACTGAAGGAACCTGTACATAAAGGCCACCTGTCTACAAAGACCACATTTTTGTGTCCCTTGAATGGTTTCTCATTGGAACATGTACTGAAAGAACCTGTACTTAAAGGCCACCTGTCTACAAAGACCACATTTTTTGTTTCCTTGAATGGTTTCTCATTGGAACATGTACTAAAAGAACCTGTACATAAAGACCACCTGTCTACAAAGACCACATTTTTTTTTCTTCCCTTGGGTGGTCTTCATAGGCAGGTCTCACGGTGATTGTTTTTCTTCGTTATTCAATTTAGGTACAAGATGTTCAGGTTCCTGGTCTGGACGAGAGGTTCTGCGGGCGCAAGCAGCACCCTTTCTCGTGGACCTCGGAAAGTAACGTGGTTTCAGTGACGTTCAAGAGTGACGATAGGACACCCTCGTCCGGTTTCTATGCAGCGTACGAATCAGCGCCGAACGTAGCCGCCGCCGTCGTTGCCCCAGTCACAGGTAAGTAGATCATTTAAAATGTTTCGGAAATTAATGAGAAAAAAAAATTCTGTTCGTCATTCGCACAGTCTACTTCAATGTATTTTACCATATGCACTTGTGTTTAATTATGTATATACAGTCAAACCTGCTTTAGTGACCACCTGTCTAGTTAAGTCTATGTTTTACTAGCCATTGACTTCAATGGGGTGTTGGGTGAAGTTAAGTCTTTGCGTTTCCTGGAAAGCCCACTTTTTTCTGAATATTTTGATATCAAATACTCATTTTGGCAAAATATGGAGTTACCGGTACGTCTTTGTGTCACTGAACCCTCAATTTGTTTGTCCTGAATGGATTAACCATGCAAGTATTATTACCACATCCAGGTTGTGAGACGCACTACGGCATCACCGAAATCAGCGGAACTTCAGGAACCGTGCAGTCTCCGGACTATCCTAGCCTCTATCCACTCAATGTTGACTGCTTCGTCCGCTTCACGACCGGTTACGGATCTCGATGCCAAATCAACTTCATCGTCTTCAACCTGGAGGCCTCAAGCACATGCAGTTACGACTATGTAAAGGTAGGTAATAGGTTATGGATATGCAAATCTTTCTTTCAGGCCTGATAATTACCCAATTTAAATCATTTCCTGATTATTTTTTTTTTATTTATTTATTTTTTTTCCCCCGATTTTTGGATTTTTTTTTAAATCCTGATTTTACCCCTATTTTTCCCTATTTTTTTTTTCCTCCAAATTTTCTTACTTTTAAATGTTTTTAAATGCCATTTCCCCCCCCCCCCCCCAGAATCCTTTTTTTTCCTAAGGGGAGGGGGGGGGGATGCTCACTATCACCCCTGTTCTTTGAATATTCATGGCAAAGTTGGAGATGGTCAATGGACAGGGCAGGGGGAGGGGGTCAGCTAGGGGACAATCATCAGGATGGTACACAGTAGTTCTCTAGGATGCTATTTTTAATAGGGAGAGCTAGGGAATGAAATACAAGTGGAATAAACGCAGCTGGCAATTATTTAAAGCATCATTTATCTCAGTCGCAATAGACCCGTTTCCTATTATATGCAAATCTATGGATGTTTCTTTCTTTTCTGGGGACCTAGTGACGAGTTATTAAAACCTGTTATGAACTACAATACTTGGAATCTAGTCTGCACACATTACTTGTTGCTATGTCAAGAACAACTTTTGTTTCAAAAGTATGCAATTTATAAATTTTGTTTATATATTGGTAAATCGGTCTATTCTCAGGGGGTAGGATTCTTAGGGATACACTAAAGACCTGTTTTCATCAGACCGAAGTTGCAAAATAATCGGCTATTTTTTGCGTCTTTACCAGACCGATACGCTCTTCACAAACTAGCTCGGACGGGCGCAATTTAGCCCTTTATTTCCTAAATAGCGGTCTATTTTGGCAACAATACAAATCCCAGGATATTTTCTCAACCAAATAGCCAGCTAATTGCAATTGCGGGCTGATAAAGATGCAAGTTAGCTGGCTAATTTACGATCAGGTTAGTTAAAATAGCGGGTTATTTTGCAACTTCTATCTGATGAAGACACACCTCATGAAGCAGAAATTTCACTGAACTCAAGGGGTCAATAAATTCAAAAGCATGACATCAAACAGAAATTAATGACACTCGATTTTAAAGGGAGATGGTCGTCAGTTACCATGTGCAGAAGGCCACCAGACTAGGTGAAAATAACATTAATGGGTTTACAAGTATTGCACACAGCAAACCCGTGGTCCCATCAAGAAATAATCCCCAGACTATCAGTCTTCTGGTGAGGGTAATGTAAGATGAACACTTTACCATATGGGAGGAATTGATGCAAACTGAAGGCTAATCCTGGTGATTGACAACACCTGTTTGAACAGTGTGGAATTCCCTATGAAAGCAGACTCCTATGCATATCAAAGTCATGAAAAGCAGCATCTTTCATTAAAAACTCATCACTGTCAGTTCTTTAATCAAGTTTAAGTTCAAGTTCATTTTATTCAAAACCACACCATTACGATTCCGGAACCTATCTAGAATTTGAAAAAGAGAGGCAAGTTTTTCCTAGTCCAAACGTAGGTCAATATCAATATCAATATTTGGTTATTCGTTACAATCTACAGTGGGTACAGGTGGTTAACTGATCAAAATACAAGCATTGTGATGTACAATTATTTCATGGATACCTATATGATATTTATCTGTATTCGTCTGAATGCTTGTAACCATTATGCAAAAAGCTCTGTGAACAAACTTTTTTTGCTTGGACTGATTCCAAGTATTGTAGCTCATTCATTAATAACGGTTTAATGGAACTAGAATTCAAATTGCATTTATAACATTTTGTTAGGTAGGCCAAGCCATGATGTTTGTAATGTATGCAATTCTCATCCTGACTATTTAGATACAATTATACATAAACAGGTGACTTGTTTTTAATTACAAATTTGAGCATGGTATCTTTATTTACTGGGTGCAAGCCTAAATTTCTTTACAATTGAAATTATTCACAGGAATTCATACATTCGAATAATTCATTTCCAGGCGCTTTGAACACAAAGAAGTATTCATTATGCACAAAAATGGCCTATGGGATTTATATGCATTCAATTCTGCGTAATATATATTCAATTCTGCGTAATATACATTAAATTCTGTGTAATATACATTCAATTCTGCGTAATATACATTCTATTCTGCGTAATATACATTCAATTCTGCGTAATATACATTCAATTCTGCGTAATATACATTCAATTCTGCGTAATATACATTCAATTCTGCGTAATATACATTCAATTCTGCGTAATATACATTCAATTCTGTGTAATATAAGTAATCTTTTCTGTCCTGTCCATTTCCAAAGGTAACGAGTATTCCAGATGGCGCAACCCAGACGTTCTGCGGGTCTCTTGCTCCATTTGAATGGCACTCCCATTCTGCTACATGCGAGATCCAGTTCCACAGCGACTCCTACCAAAGAGCATCGGGCTACCATGCACAAATCACAGCTGTTTCTTCAAATGTAAGTTCTAATTCAAAGCTGAAGGCATTTCCCATTCTAGATTGGTGAATATTATGGCTCATAGCATATTGAAACAGAAAGTTATGACACACAGGCTTAAAGGGACTTGGTAACATTGTTCAGATGAGAGAAAATGGTGCTAATTTGGTAGTGACTTCGATGCTAGATGTACAATTAACTCCTAGCCATTGACCTGGGGTTAATTCTGTCCATGTTGGCACAACTGATTGCATTATTGACTTTTAAATAAAGATATTCCACCATTGGAACTAGCAATTATAAGCCGAGTAAGATGAAATCTGTTTACCTTCATTTTTAATTCTTAATGCAGATCCATGCACCCTACCAATCGCATCAACCTCCAAATGAACCAGCTTCACCGTACCAACCACCAAATGAACCTCCGGCACCATACCAGCCACACGCACCGTACCAACCACCAAATGAACCGCCTGCACCGTACCAACCAGCTGCACCGTACCATGCACCACCAAATGAACCTCCGGCACCATACCAGCCACACGCACCCTACCAACCACCAAATGAACCTCCCGCACCATACCAGCCACATGCACCGTACCAACCACCAAATGAACCTCCGGCACCATACCAGCCACATGCACCGTACCAACCACCAAATGAACCTCCTGCACCGTACCAACCGTATCAACCTCCAAATGAACCGCCTGCACCATACCAACCACCTGCACCGTACCAACCACCAAATGAACCTCCGCCACCATACCAACCACATGCACCGTACCAACCTCCAAATGAACCTCCGGCACCGTACCAACCACATGCACCGTACCCACCACCAAATGAACCACCAGCACCATACCAACCACCACATGGGCCTCCTGCACCATACCAACCACCAGCTGAAGCAACAGCAATAGGTAAGAACTTTTTTAGAGAAAGTAAACTATATTGGTTGTCATGAGATAACAAATAAATAAGAAGGACTTTTGTAGTTGTAACCACTACTAGTTAGGTGTGAATAGGGAGTAATTTCTCTTTTACTGATGTGATGCATAGTTCTTAAACAACAGTTTCTCATGACAGTTCAAATGCTTGCCAGAGGCTTAACAGACATAGCAACATTCTATTCATAGCGATACCATCATGCGGTGATCTGACCATTGCTCTTGCGACGATTGTTCCAAGCTTTATTTTGCAAAGGTACAGGTTTAGGATGAGGGGTGCAATTGAGTTTTAGGTTAGATTAAGGGTTAGGTATAATGTTGGGCCCAGGAGTCGACGTTAAGAATTTGTTTTGTGTAGGCAATTGACATAGAGCGATTGACGCAGGAGCAAGTGTTCTAAAACCCAATTATGGTTCTAGGACACCTGCCCCCTGGACAACCACCCCTAGGATAAACACCCTCTAGAACAACTACCCCCTAGGACAACTACCCCTAGGGCAACACCCCTAGGAAAAATAGCCTCTCGGAGAACTACTCCCGGACTACTACCCCCCAATTTATAATTACCCTAAGTGGTTATTGACTGGGGTAGTTGGGTAGTAGTTACCAAGGAGGTATATGTCCTAGGGGGCACTTGTCCTGGAGGATGGTTATCCTGGGGTGGTTATCCGGAAGGTAGTTGTCCAGGAGATAGGCGTCCGGATACACCCAATTATAGTAGATGAATTGAGTAGTTAATAAATACTTGTTGTGGAGAGCAGCCTAGAATATTTGAAGTAATTTGTTTAAAACAAGTCCGTTTCTGAATTTTGTTCTTCCAGCCGCAGAGTGCACCCAAGGTCTCCAAGCCGTGGTAGGGGAGAAGAAGTCCTTTGCTTCCCCTGGCTGGCCCGTCAGGTACCCCCTCCAGGTGCAGTGCTCGACCACGATCACTGCCAGTGCCAACGGCAGGATAAGGATAGAGTTCACTCACTTTGAATTGGAAGGAGACGAATGCAAATATGACTATGTGCAGGTAAGGGTCTCTCTCTCTCTCTCTTTACTTATTCTCCCTCTCTCCCTCTTTCTTTAACTTCCCTCTATCTCTGTCTTTAACTTTCTCTCTCTATATATATATATTTCTCTTTTTAAGTCTCTCTCTCTCTCTTTCACTCTCTCTCACTCTTTCACTCTCTCTTTCTCTTTCACTCTCTCTTTCTCTCTCTCTTTCATTTATGTATGTAAAACAAGATTAATCTATACCTCGTTGTCATCAAGTTAATCGAGACTCAAGATTTTTTGCACAAGGCTAACCTTCTGTTTGGTGGTGCCTATTGTTTTGTGCAAAACCGCACGTGTTGCAAACGAGGGACCATACACAGAGGCGTAGCAAGCAACCGAAGTGTTAGTTACAGAAACCATTAAAATAGTTGACACGGCATGGTCTAATCCTCCTACTCTATCCTTGGAGGTGTGGTAGTCCAGCAGTTTAATTTCTTGCCTGGGAGTACAAAGGTCATGGGTTCGAGCCTCGGCACCAAACTTATGTCCTTGAGCAAGGCATTCTATCTTCATTGCTCCTCTCCACCCAGGTGTCAGAGCCTATCTGCACTAGTTTGGCCAGGAGGGATTAGACCTCCCTGCATGGTCACGGACAGGTGGCTATCTCATCAAATCAGCTCTCAATTAACATAAGAAAAAGGGGATCATGAGGGACCAATGGGTACCGCTTAGGCATTGTTTGCTATATAGAGGGCACAAGTAGCTACAAGTAGTGCAGTCCCGCTGTAAAGGGTACATGGTAGAATGTGAACTTCATTGTGGTTGGATTAACATGTGCACGTCCATGAAAAGGGGACTACCTGAAATGCTACCCAGGGAGTGGAGAATGTGCACTATAATTTGCAGAATAGTGATTTAATCCAGTGACCGGGGTAATAATGCTGTAAGCGCTTTGGTCAGTTAATGGTAAAACGCTATGTGAGAAATAAAAATCATATTTCATCTAATTATTAATATCAAATGCCTGCTTAATGTCAGTTTCAAGCGACAACAAGAAAATGGCATTTTAAAGCGCTATATAAGAAACCAATAATTTTTATTCTCCAGATATCGGAACCCTACCAGAGTGGCACACCTGAGAAGCTGTGCGGCGTCAAAACTCCGTTCGTCTATGAGAGCAAGTCTGGCCGCGTGGTTGTAACACTCGTCAGCGATGGTTACGTGACGAAAAAGGGCTTCCTCGCAACATTTACGCAATTCTAGATTCCTAAATATTCAATTTCATACGTATAGCAGCTGATCCCATATGCCTTGCTATACAAAAATATGAAAATTTTGACTTTCTTGCAAGAAATGAGTTATTTTGTAAGTCAAGTCCATTATGAAAATGTCAGTGGTGCCCTTATTACACCAAGTGTCGGGTTGCCTTTAGTTATTGATTGATATGCAAATGATTTAACCGTAAAATGTACTAAGTTTTTACTTTCGTAGACAGTGTAATGGGTTTTATTCACTGTATTTGTGTAATATGCCTTCTCAGAAAGGAGCAACAAAAAAGAATTGTCATAATTCTAGTGGTTAATAAAACTGATCATTTTGTGTGTATTGTGCATTGTACGTTTGGTTGGTGTTTTGAAAAAACTGAAATGGAGTATTCATGATATTTATTTGTTGTACATGTACGGTACTTAATTATGATTTTGTACTTGTCAGTTTTTATACCATGAAGTGAAATGTTATTTCCTTGTTTTGCAATAATTTTCCTCGATATTGTTCCTGCAAATTTGTGCAAATGCTTTTTCATTTGGATTTTTGAATCAATTGGAAATGAACTTCAATGTTTGAATGACATTTAGACATAATTCAACAAGTTGTGAATACCAAAGAATGACAGAATGCGGTCAATAAATAGCATCTAATGCAGATGGCCACCTACACATGTATGTTCTTTATTTTCTATGTTTCAGATGTATGTTTCAGAGTATGTAATTCTTTAGTGGGTTATTTTCTAAACATCTCTCTCTTTCTCTTCTTCCCCCCCCCTCTCAATATCAATCTCTCTCACTATCTCTCTCTCTCTCTCTCCTTTCTCCTCTCTATCCTTTCTCCACTCGCTCTCCTCTTCTCTCCCTCTTTCTCTCTCCATCTCTTTCTCTCTCCTCTTCTCTCTCTCTCTCCTCTTCTCTCTCTCTCTCCTCTTCTCTCTCTCTCTCCTCTTCTCTCTCTCTCTCTTTCCTCTTCTCTCTCTCTCTCCTCTTCTCTCTCTCTCTCTTTACTCTTCTCTCTCTCTCTCCCTCCCTCTCCCTCTCTACTCCCTCTCTCTCTCCTCTTGTCTCTCTCATTTCTCTCTCTCTCCCTTCTCTATCTCTCCACTTTAAATTTGTAATACTTGTTTTCTGTCAGAGAGGAGATGAAGGTAAATCTGTAGTTCCCTTGGATGCTTGCATAGAAGTATGAATTTGAATTTTTTTTTAGCACCCTCTCCCCCAAACAATTCAAGGAACTTTAACACCCTGGACCATGGACTACCACCCCACCCCAACCCTGTCCCATGGAAACCTATCCCAGGTTACCTACTCCGGACACCTACCCCTTCGGATAACTACCCCCTGAAAGATATCCCTGGACAACTACACCCTAGACATTGACCCCCTTGATATTTACACCCTACACAATTTACCTCCAGTCCTGGACATTTACTCCGGGGGCAAACAACCTTACAAAACATTACCCCCAACAACTAATATACACCGCAGTAGTTGGCTTCGGGTAATCAGGATAAATCGAAGTTGTCCTGGGGAGTTGCAGTCTAATGGGGCGTTGCAAGAAAGTTTTGATTGATTGCAAATCCCTAAAATCAAGCGTAAGTCTTACAATTAATTCCAATTTTGCAATTGGTCGCAACTCAACTTTATGGCAACGCCTCGTTAGTAAAAGAGAGAGATGGGGAGAATAAAAGCTAGATCTAGTTAATGTCATCGTTAAAACTTTAATCCTAACAAAATCCTAGGATATGTAGGAGACTAGTGGGCGTTGCAAGAAAGTTGAGTTGCAATCGATTGCAAATTTGGCAACTTGCAACAAATCGCACCTTTCTTGCAACGCCCAATTGGAGTATTATTCCTAGGAATAATTGTCCTTGTGGTTGTCCGGCGGCAATTTTTCTCACGGGGAAGTCCGCAACAGTCCTAAAAGCTACATATTAGAATAGCCTTTCCATTACCAAGTCTGAACGAAATTAACCAAACTAATTTATTTGTTTATACACACGTCTTGCAAATAAAACATTGCGAACATAGGACTATTACATTTACATACGATCATATACAATAATTTTGACTAAATATCGTATTACCGCCACAATTTGAGCAATATTATCAGAGTCTTACATCGAGCTTATATGACATTAATTCTGACACCTCTTTCGAAAATCTGAGTTTTCAAGAAAACTGAAATGATCGCACTTTTTCTCTTTTTTAAAATATTATTGCGACACTTTTTCCATTGTTCCCATTGTACTTTAACCCATAATGAAATTATTAAAGTTCACATTTTTCAGTTCAACTACCCTCCACTTAAAAGGACAAACTGGAACTATAATCTTCATAATGATCTATTATACAAAGGATGAGCACCCTGTGCAAATATTCAGAAGTGTTGCTAGAACAATTTATGAAGGTATACAGTACATTACTGGTTCTAAGGGGCTGGGGCTCAATCCCCCCCCCCCCCCCCCCTTTAAAAAAATTAGATAATGAAGTTTGTGCCGAGTCTCTTTTTAAGTATCCTCCGTCGCAGAACAATATTTCTCTCTCTCTCTCTCTCTCTTTCTCTCTCTCTCTCCCTCTCTCTCTGTCTCTCTCTGTATGTCTGTCTCTCTGTCTCTGTCTGTCTGTCTCTATCTCTCTCTCTCTCTCTGTCTGTCTCCCTCTCTCTCTCTCTCTGTCTCTCTCTCTCTCTCTCTCTCTCTCTCTCTCTCTCTCTATATATATATATACATAGGCCTATATAATAATTAAAACAATTGAAATTGGTATACAAATTGAAACAAAATTGAAACCAGTCATAGTGAAAAAGTGAACTCTTAAGGATTTTATTTCAATGTTAATTATCATTTAATGACAGAGGATTTTCCAAATGGAATTATTTGTTGTATATACATTTATTTATATATATTATATATTTATGTATTTATATACAAACATAAATATATATTATCTGTATAAAATTATGTATATAATACTCGTCTGGAACCGCTTTCACGCTCTTACAGTTTTGACAAGTTCATATATACAAAATGTCCATAATCACGGATATGCAGACAAAAAATAGTTTACGAAGGGGCGCAAAACCCCACCCCCTCCATCCTGCTTCGCCCCTTCAAATATTACAAGGGTTTAAACAATGCACTACTTCGCACTTCGACGAGTGCTATTGGAATGTTATCGGCATGCCCTTTTGTTACAAATATTGAAAGATTAAAGTCCATAGTAATGTTCAAATATTTGCGTGCATATTAATTTATGACACCAATTTCAAGATGGTCCAATCGCTTAATTGGTCAAATTTGATTTGATTTGATTTGATTTGATTTGATTTATTTATTTCTGTTTGATTTTCTTTTTTCTTTTGCATTTTTACAAATTTATAACAAACAAATATTGCAAATTTACACATGACAAAAGAATATATGTAGAATAAAGTAAGGCTGGCTGTAACTAATCGAAAACATCAAACAGGAGGGTTGACAAAGTAAGCAAAGCTTGAAAGTATGACTACCCTCAAAGGATACACAATAATACAAATATGGAGGAACAAAATATAGAAAATTGTAGAACGATAACAGATTAAAGTGAATACATAATTATGTAATGTTAATTCTCTTAATACATGTACTTAGACGCCGGACTAGACGACAAAAACCTGGAACGGCCAGATGCGATTTTTCTCAAATCATCTCGAACGACCTCTTGTAATATAACTAGCACGCCCGAAATTGCCACGATATAAATTGAAATTTATTAGCAATATATCACGGTAGTGAATGACTGAAGTCCACATGCATGGTTCACATTGTATTCGGACATCAAGAGATTTGCATATTGACAACTCGCAATCGAGAAAGACCTCTTTTGCTGTGAAGTTATGTTCGACGAAGCTGCAAATATAGGCTATACAAATGTACAAATGAGTATAAATAATAACGTAATGTTCTACATAAGAACGTATCAAATTGATTAAAATACTAGTAAACAAATCATAAAGATTACACAGCAAAGTCTGGAATATAGCGGACGTAATATTATAATTACATTTCCATTTTCATCCTGAAAAAATGTTCGTTTTCTCACTTTTTCCATTTTGTTTTAAATCCACTAAAATTAGATATAAATTTGAAGATCGTACTATAATGCGTTTATATCCAACTCAGGATTTTGAGATTTCTTCGATATTAAAGTGGTAAACAGCAAGAAATTCAGAACGAAAAATAATTGTCATTTATAACTTATACTTTTAGAGCACATTAATAGGCAAAGAAGAGATTACAAAATAATGAAAGCATTTCTTTTTGCGCGTGTCTTATAAGCTTGGACAAAGTAAATGGGGATCAAGTATATGATTGAAATATGGAAAGACATTTTTTGGAAAACGGTTTAGGTCTGCTTTATTAGACACCTTTAATTCAACATAGTCTGTATAAACCTAAATGATAGTTAAATAATCATAATTCACAATCCTACTAGGGCATATCTTACAACTTTTGATTGTTTTAAGAGAGCTTATATTTTGTATTTATGACATAATATCAAAGATGGCTAATCAATCAATTTTAAATCACCTTATTCATCTTTCATGATCTATAAATATCTCACCGAATTGATATGTTCGTACTTTTAATTTGTGCTATTATTTAAAATAATGTTAGTGATATCAGCATTGTAATTACTTAATTACCTCGTCAATGATCGTTATAGGACTTCGGAAAGCCTTGTTCGGTTTTTTTTAAATTCAATATGCCGAATTTGAAAAGTTTAATTCAGACTTTAACCCACTTTTTCTCAGGTTTCGTGAATGCGTTCTCGTACATGAATGCCTTCTTATAAATCAGGAGATCTTTGCCATTACAGACGATCATCTGACCTCGTGACGTAATCAATGGCGCGATCACAGGCCTGGTCAACTGCTTAAACGTGATCGGTTCTTTGTTCTTCAAGCGGCCGTCGATGGCGACTTCGTCGACCACCGCGATGACGGGACTCGATGTTGACTTGCTCTCCTGAAGAGAGCATACAAAGAGGATGTCACTGGCCGGGTCGACGGCGCAGCGTGATTCAGCCCATTCCTTACGTTTCAACGTGCTCCTGACCTTCGCCGTTTCACCGTCCAGGATCACGAACCCGTCTTCGCACGCCTTGACGACCACGAGACCCGACGCCGTCACCCGAATCTCGCCTCGGATCTCCTCGCCGTCGGACAGCGTCGCGGTTCGTAGGATCTCCCCCGTCGACGGATTCAAGAAGTGGACCTCGTTGCTGCCCCCGCACAGGTTCCCGGCCACGATCACGCCATCCTTGTCGACGTCGATGACCAGCGTGCACGGGGCTGCGACACCGCTAACACGAATTTCCCTCACACGTTTTCCATTCTTAGCGTACACACCAATACACCCCGATGGAGACTCGCTAGCATAGAGTGTCCCATCCGGTGCCATAGCACAATCCATTACATCCCCCTGCAGGGGTTTCTTCGTTATCTTTTCGGTTTGGAGGTTGACGTCGTACACGAGACCGCGCAGCGTATCGCCAACCAGAACAACGTTGTCGTCGCTAGCAACGCAGTATAGACGCGGTGCTTTAATATTCGCAGGCAGCGAGATAAATTTTACATAGTCCCACGAACTGTGCTCTCTCGTGTAGTAATCTCCCATCCTTCAACT